TACGAATTTATATATATATATATCTACCTATACCTATACACTTACATAATATAACATGCAATCTATTTTAACGGAAAATGGCAAAAACACCGGGCTAAGCATAATTTATGATGTATATTTCTCTGACCGAACATATTGTGAGCTTGAATTTAAAAAATTTTATTGCCTAGGTTATAAATTCAGTGATAGAATAGGCATGTATTAATAAATATTAGTTATAAAATAAATTTATTTATTTTTTTTATATCTTAGATTCGTATATTCACATGCTAATTGAACACTTCGAAGTATGTACAAGAGTTAAATGAATTATTTTATTTTATGTCAATGTACAAATATTTTTTTACTCATTTTTATTAGAACAGGCGGTTGGCTGGCTGGCCAATTCCATTTTTATTTGGTCTTTGGTGTTAGCTGCATGTGAGTTCTGTTTCGAAGTGGGTAGAATGTGTGATGTAAACTTTGCAGAATAATATGTGTGTAAACTTTGCTTACATAAATGAGTATCCTTTTTCCTTAGCTTATTACGATTAAAATATAATTATGATGCTATTTAAATTGAAACGGTAATTGAAATAAAGTACGAGGAAAAGTTGTGTTAAAGTTAACAGAGTCGTTAGATGGCAAGACTGAACCCCGCATAGCCAATCAAAATTACTTTTCAATTTTTTGAGGGGAGGCTCGCTCTTGCAGGAAGAGTAATGAAACGTAAGGTCGATAACAAGTTACGAAACAATGCTTCTCATTTTTTAAAGGTGATTTTTGATATTGAATTAATAAATTTATTTTAAAATTTAATGAAAATAAAATCTTCACTCTGAAATCTTCGTATTTGTTTTATATATTTCAGGACATTTTCTACAGGGTTTCAGTAATTCAAAGTTTTGCACTTTTGTTATGTGTTATTTTAATTCAGAATCGCTGTAATGGATTTTCGACTGTTGAGAATGAAAAATAAAATTGTAAAAACATATTAACTAGAAAAATGAAAAATAAAATTGTAAAAACATATTAACTAGAAAAATTGAGTTTTTAAAAATTAATATCGAACATAAATTAAAATATTTAACCATGAAAAAATTTGAAAAAAATCGAAACGAATATAATTAAAGTTAAACCAATAAGAATTATTCAAAATATTATTGAAAAAAAATGTTCCCACAACTAGAGCCTTTTTTTCAGAACCGTTGATTCAATTATTAAAAAATAAAAATATAGCTAATATTTTAGCTATAGATAATATTTTAATTGGATGCTTCCACCCAACGTACTCTCCACTCTTTTTATTATCATTTAATTTGATTCACCCTGGTTCCATTGATCTGTTTGCACACGATTGTGAAAATAAACAGAAAGATATCTCAGAGTTTTCCAACGCATTTATGAAAAAAAAAATGATGATGGTGTGATGTTGCTGTGATTTTGTTAGGAAATTTAAATTCATGAAATAAAAGTTCTTCTGTTTTTCCTGTGTCTCTCACAGTTGTTCAGCTCGACTGCTTGCGTACAAAGGTGAGATTGAAAAATAGAATGAATTTGAATTTAAAAATAATTTTAACAATCGATGGAACACGTGTTGCGATCGTGAGCCATTCACGTTCAATTCGGTTGGTAGGCTAATGTTGGCTTTCACTCTGTCACCTGTCGCTCTCAGCTGACAAAGAAAAGCAGGTGATTGTTGTCTGCCTGTCTGTCTGCGCGTCTTTTCGTGTACTGATGCTTGCTTGCTGACGCACAATTAATTGCTCTTTTCGACAATCACTTTATTGATTAATTTGTTTGTTGTTTCTTAGCCTCTAGATATCTCGTTCATTTTACTCCTGCAATCGATCCATCCATCACAGTGCGTCATACAAATCAATTGATTCTTGAACGTGTGCTGACTCCTGTCGGCAGATTGCTGATCGGAACTGCTTTCAACTGCTTTCTATAAGGTGCATCGTCGATATATTGATGCTCTCATTTATTCAGCCTTACAATTGCAATTAAATATTTGTTTATTGTTGCTTTGTTATGTATTTAAAATCTCATTTGAAATATATTTTTCATTTGAATCATAAACTGTTCTAATAATTTTTCTTCATTGGCAGCTGAGTTTTTGTACGCACGTTTCATTAGTCATTATGTTTATTTGGTTACAACCTGATGACCAGCATTGCCAATAAAAACGCTAGTAACGAATGAATTTCCTCAAGATCAAGTTCGATCATTTTATTTTCCTGACAATCTTTTGTTGCACAATTATTTCACCATGAAATAAAACACAAATTCAAGCGTCATCCTCAAACAATTTTCATTATTATTTCTCAAAACGTGGAAACTACCCATTAATTAAATCAACCACACATGAAGTAATAAAAATTATCCATTATTATGCGTTTTTTTTAAATTCTTAATATGATACACATTTCAACATCTTTATAAGTTTCTCCCAAAAAATACATATCGCATATCATCGAAACGATTTACTAAAAGGCGTTACAAACTACAAGCGTCTGTTATCAATTATTGCTTCAAAAAACTTATATTCAAGCCCAAAAATCGTAAAGCACAATGTGTTATCAAAATGAAAAACTAATTCTTGGAAACCATAGAAAGATGATTTAATAAATAACCTTGGAAACCTTGGAGACATGAGTCAATAAATAAAATAAAGTTAAACAAATAATAACAAGTTTAATCATAAGCAAGTTCAACAACAATAATTTTACGACACTTTTACCATCATCATTCCATAGTTTGCTTGTTGAGCTAAACACAATTGATGAAAAATCTTACTTCAGTTGACGGGGGGGAGTATTTTTCAAGATGTTGAGTTGATTTGTGATTGATGACCTTTCTTTGGTCGTAATGTCTGGCTGACGGCCATTTTTGGGTTATAATGTTATTTTTCATTTGGCTTGGCGGGCCGCGTGCACGGGCCATAGTTTGCCCACCCCTGGGTTACAACGCATCTCCAAACTTTCAGGTGAGTTGGAAAAACATAAATTGAACGATCGTGTACAAGAGTTCATTGGCTGAAAAATCCATCATACAAATAAGATGCTAAGCTAGTTGAGGACTACATAAAAATATATTAAAAAACAAAACGATCAGACGTTGCTTAAAAATTATTACTTTTGGAATTGCCATGTTTTTTGATGTGGCATAAGGTGATACGCGCTGACCACGCATTTTGCAGCTTAACAACGTTATCATCTTACGTTGTTGTTCAAGCCTACGTTGTTGCGCAATGACCTGCTTTGAAAATGCGCAAAATTGCAAAAACTAATATATGTTTCTTGCGTTTGAGACTGCGCGGCTACATGAAACTGCGTGTGGCGTTGATAAGACGTAGCCTAATCTTTGTGACACTGAGAGTTAAGTTGAAGCTAATAAACCTCATGCTCGTGTACCCAATGCTCACTCTGCAAAATTAAAGATTAAAATGAAGCGCGTGATTATTTATTCAGCCGCGTGCAAACGCGCACTGATTAGAAATATATGGTGGAGCTGCAAGCGAACACAAGGAGTGAATAACCGCTGAATTCGTTCATGTACGAGAACAGAGATAAAGCATGTGCGTGCATCGTGTGTTTATGTGTTTAAAATTATACATAAATGCATGTGTGTATGTGTAATATAATATGTGTGCATATATAATATTTACTAATTTGTGTGCGAGAGAGATAAAGAGAGAGTATGTGTGTGGTGTGTGTGTATGTGCGTGTGTGTGTGTTTGTGAAGTTCTATCGCCACACGTGGTCAGTTTATTTTAATGTTCAAAAAGGTATATTTAAATTCATTTAAATTTTTTTAAACTTAACGTAATAATAATAATAATTAACGATTTAATTCATGTATCGCTGTGGAGCCCGTGGAGCCTGTATGTATATGATATGGAGCCTACCTCACGAAGAACAAGATGTAAAAAATGTATGTGCAAAAACACACGCGACAACGTATCTATGTTTGTGTAATTGTAATTTGTGATAACGTAAACCAAACATGTACACACAACAAATACAAAATATAAATATATGTATATATATATATATATATATATATATACATACAAATACATTATGTTATGTGTAAATATAAACAAAAATATACATATACAATGTACATACATTTCCATATATGATACGCACGTATTTGCATTTTACTTGCGGCTTATAAATGATTTCATGACAAGGGTTTTCCAAAAATAGAAAGACGAAATCCTTGAAACGACGTGTAACTTTTTTTGCTGCTGTCGAAGTCGCTGATTTTTGTTTATAAATTAAACTACGTGTTGAAATGATTGCATAGGACCTCAGGCCACATCTTAAATGTTTAAACGACATTTTATAAATACTCATTATGCATTCATTACAGGGCATATTAGACAAATCTTCGTAATGTGATTGGTCGACCCAATTAAATATCATTGACATACTTAGCTCCGATTGGTTAGATTCATGCAAACATCCTAAAGATGTTATTGTAGTTTTAAATAATCTAAATAATTGTTCCTTGTCGTGAAATAACGATTAGACTCTCCTTTTAATTGCTCTCCCCATCGTCGGTGACTCTCGCGCGTTAGGAAGAAACGTCTGCTGGTTGCTGAAGTCAGCCAGAAGTCAATTACATCATTTATAAAGTTGAAATTCTCAACGATATGGAAGCATAACTGTTCCGTTCAGCTGATCAGTTTACTTACCTAGCATGTTCATGTTCTACTTCAGGGTTTCGTTGTCTTCCCATGCAATAACAAATAACAACAATTATTATATTCCTTTTTTTGTTAAATTTCCACCCGACGTTCAACAATTTAATTCCATTTAATAATCCAGTTAATAAAGCCGATATCTGTTGAATAAATTATTCTATTATTGCTGCTTATTTGTCTATTAATATTAATTTATTAATAATAATTTAAATAATCACTAATGATAATATAAAATTTCTGGAGATGATTTTCTCAACAAACTTGGAATTTTTCTAATTGAAATTCTTGATTTCATGATCAACAAAAAATGGTCAGTGTTGTGAGAAATGTGAACATTGAATTCATCCCTGGCGAGGTTGAGATGGTCGTTTTTGGCAAAGGATATAAAGTATGATTCCACCGTTTTAATCTTTTATTTTGTTATTGATTATTAATTATTATATTGTATTTTAATTCTTTACTATTTTAAAATTCAAATTTCAGTTCCCTTTTAATTTTTTAATAAATTTTAATTTAATTGAACAACATTTTTTATTTAAAGATCAAAGATTATTTGCCATTAACTGAAAATTTAATTATGAAAGTTCTGCCTAAAGAGCTCATTCTGAGGTAGAACAAAACCTTTTGCTTTTTAATTTATTTATATTGAAAAAAATTTAGATAAATTGTATTTTCATTCTATCTTCCTTCAATTTCAATCAAACTTAACTTCACACCATGGGTGAATTAATAATTAGTTGACAAATTTTATAATGTTTTCACCACAGAATTTTTTCATACCTGGATCTGTTGAGTTTGTGCAGATGTGCCTGCGTATCCAGGATATGGAATGCCCTTGCTACTGACGGAAGTGTTTGGCAGGCCATTGACCTTTGTAAATTTCAAACTGACATTGATGTTAGTAAAAGAAGGATAATAATTATTAATCAAATCATTGTAAATTGCTAATGTTCTGCTGTTTTAACAAGTGTAGGTTTGGGGAATTAATTTTTATATTTATTAACTTAACATCTGTATTAGTTACTTCAGATTAGATTTGTGTATTTGACATATACTATTTGTCACTACATCAATGACTATTTTTAACATCCAAATGACAACATTATCTATAATTTATGTAACACAAAGAAATATAATAAATATTCATTATGAGCAAAATGACCTTCAAATTAAGGGTAACATGTTGGAGGCCCTGGCTTTCAAATCAGGAAATTTTCTGAGGAAGTTGAGTTTAAAAGGATGTAAATCAATCACAGATAGTTCATTCAAGTTGGCATTCTCCACTCTCATTTTATTTTAACTAATTTTTTAGAGGATTTTTTATAAATTCAGTTTTATAATAAAATCTTAGTTTTTATAATAATAATAATAATGATGATGATAATGATAATTTTAATGCTAGCACTAATATTTCTCAAATGGACACAACTCGTTGTAGGCATTGAAAATATATTTTTTCCTCTAAAATAAGATACATTCCGATGAGTTGTCGAAACTTGGTCATGTTGGATTTAAGTGGCTGCACAAAGCTGGGAGATGCGTGAGTTGCAATTAATAAACTCAATTATTTGCAGCTAGAAGTCATTGAATGTGAATCATGTAAATCATTTTTGTATTTCATCTGAATTTGAGAGGCAGATATAATAATCTAACCTGAGGTTGTGATACTAATCTGAATTTGAGAGGCAGATATAATAATTTAACCTGAGGTTGTGATACTAATCAGCTAAGTCTTTCTGCAGAGTGTACATTACTGAACTGTAAATAATGAATTTCATTTAAATTGTAATAACTGTTATCTAACCAATCTTCTCTATTTAATCATCTGTCTATCTCAACTAACCTTCTTGACATGTCGTGTGCTTGTGTGTGTGTGTGTGTGCGTTCGTCTGCGTGTGAGTGTATGCGCGCGCTCGTGTTTGTGTGTGTGTGTCTGTGTGTGTGTGTGTGTGTGTGTGAAGCCGAAGAAACACGCATATGTAGAAGAGACTTTTAAAAAGTTGGCCAACAACGAATATTAGTTATTTTTCTTTCTGCTCACTTTTTAAAGCAAGTTGTCCTAACTAACTTAGATTCTTAATACGTTTTTTAGATGCTAAACCAATGCATGTATATCAAAATGAAATAATTCATTTGCATAAGCTGTTGATCTAATTTTAGAAAACTCAATCAAAATTCTATATTGCTTGTTTACTTTTAATTTTTGTAATACATTTATTTATCTCCTGTAGTGAATTAAGCTATATTTTTTTTATTTTTCTTATTTATTTTGTATTGTATCAACTTCAGTGCCTGTCAGAACATAGGGCTTTACTGCTCCAGTATACAACATTTAGATTTGGAGTGCTGTTCCAACTTAACTGACCTATCCCTCATTTCATTGAGGTTGGCTTGCTGGAAGTGTCTTGTTGGTTTTACTGCTGGTGATTAAGTGCTTGTAAATTTCAAGATTAACTTTTAATTTTTTTTAATTTTTTAATTGCTTCCTTCTGACGAATAGTCTTGGATGTGAGGATTTGAAGTGTTTAAACATATCCTGGTGCCTTCGTATCACTGACAACGGTCTACAACATTTGCTCAAAAAGTTATCCAACCTTGAAGTTTTCAATGCCAAGGGGTGCAGTCAGGTTGGCGTCATGCCTTCTTTTGTGATATTCTTTGGAAATCATTTCATGCATTTTAAAAAGTCGAATGAGTTTTTCCACAATGGTTTATCATTTGTTAATCTAAGTTTGCTTTTTCAATTAATCATTAAGTAAAATTTATCAAAATTAATTTAATTAATAAATGTTTCAGCATATTACAACAAAAAATAGTAACTATTACCTTAGTCAACATTTAAGCTTCATATTCAATTCTGATAAAAAAAACAATTACAAATTATTCAAAAGTTTCAATGTTATTTTAAAAATATATCTATTTGAAAAAATGGAAAATGAAAAAAATTGACTAATTGTTGAATGAAGCTTTCAGGACAGGGCCTAGAAAACCTTTCTTCATGCTGTCAGTTGGTTTCACTTACTCTTTTTGGTTGTGAGGTTCGTTTAACTACATTTTGTTTATCTTTCTTTTACATTTTTTCAAAAAGATTTTTCATTTTATGATTGGGAGTGACTTGGTTATTCTATATCTCAGTTTAATTGGCGTGTATAAAGTTAAGTATACTGCCTGTTACAGAGAACGACAGATTCAGCAGTGATGAAGATAACTGAAGGATGTCTTCATCTGAAATTGTTGTGCCTATCAAAATGTCCTAGACTCACTGATGTTTCACTCATTGCCATTGCTAAGAACTGTCCGGATGTTGAGTTTGTTTTTGTGTTTGTGCCTTGTTAGGTTGATACTAAATGTTACTACTACATGTTTGAACAATAGCTGGGAATATTTTAAATACATCTGCTTCACCTTTTTTTTTACCATTCTATCATTCCTGGTGCTTTCATTGTTCTTCATGTATTTCATTGATATTTTAAATATTTTAATTTATTTCAACAAGCACTCCTTTTTAATTAGAGACACAGTTCCTTGTACTTTATCCTATTTTTGTCACTTTCTCTTCTTTTGAGTTTTAGATTTTTTTTCTTCAAGTTTCTGTACCTCGTCAGTCATTTTCTAATACTCTTTTTTGGTTTTACAACTTTTGTCTGCTTTTTCAGTGCTTCTTCTAGATTGTCGATTCTTGTTTCTATGTTAAAGCTGACTTTACGTTGATATTTATTTCTGATCCCATTTTTTCATCTCTTCCTATTCTTCATAATGACTGTGTGGTATCTATTTTCTTCTATCACTTATTTTTTGTTTAAATTTTAGATCTGCGTTTTCATGCTGCTGACATTCAGATTTTATCTTCTTTTTTCAAATTTTTCATAATGTAATTAAAATATATAAAATATCAATGTGAACTCAGCATTCGATTGTTCTTATTAAAATTTTTTGCTTTGCAAACTCTTGATCTTTTTAAATGTTATTATGCCATAAAAAAAAAACATTATCACAACACACAACAGAACACTAGATCTCTCTGGTTGCTCCCGACTTACTGATGTTGGCTTTGCTGCCTTGACCAAGGTTTGTCCTTCTTATGTTCATTTTCCGCAACTTCTTCAAATATAAATTTTCATCATTTCGTTTTTATTTACTGTTGATAAACTGTCAATTCAAATCGACTAAATATTTAACGAATTTTATATAAAACCTGTCCATCGAGTTTTTTGTTACTTATTCAAAATGTCAACATCTGAAAGTAATGTTTTATTTTGAATGTCTTACTGTCATGTTTGCGGTATTATGCGATAATTAAAATAAATAAATGTTTATTATTAGAATATTAAAAAAAATTAAAATGAAAATTCAGAGTTGTCACATGTTGAGAAGATTGGATTTGGAAGAATGCCTCTTGGTTGGTTTTTCATCCCGTTTCAAAAATGTTCATGCGTTATGGACGTCTATTGTTTGTTTGAAATAACTATGTTTTTAATAGTTTTATTTTTTATTTAAAAATAAATTTGTGATATTTGTACGCTTGGAGACAGTACAGTGACAAACCTCGCCTTAAATTGTCCGCCTTTCTCTCATTGTAAGAGTTGAATAAAAAAATGTTTTTAATCAATATTTTTATTGTATAAACATCAACTATATTTACCTTTTTTTCCTTCTATTTTTCATTGTGTTCCAGTTTTTTTAGGAGTGCTTATAATCAAGATAACACAACAAAACCCCAGCTCTTATCACTGTGTGATTATATAGGAGCATATCATAGCGCCGTTAGGAACGAGTCCTTGCGCCCAGGAAACCCTGTGTCTCATTGAACTGGAGAAAACTGTCCTCTACTCACGGACAACTGTTTGACGCACCTTTTTGGGTGTCAGAATCTGAGAAGGATAGAACTGATTGATTGCCAGCTGATCACGCCTAATGGTATTCATCGATTGCTGGTTCGTTTCGCTTGTCATGTCTTCGAAACTTCTTCTTTTATCTTGTATCTTATATTTTCGTAAATTTTTATGTCTCCAAGGTTGTTATTTGTTTTTGTAGTGTTACAACTATGGTCAAAATGCAAGTGCATGTAATTATCATATTATTATTAGGGTTATTATTTCTCTTGTTGAATTTTTTCTTCAAGTGCCACTTGCCAGGTCTGAAAGTTCACGCATACTTCACTCCTGCTACGCCCATCCCATCTGCCGGAAACGATCGACGTCGTAAGATTTGCAAGTGTTGCATCATTCAATGAAGTATTGTATCATTCAATGAAGTGTTGTATCATTCGTTGAAGTGTTGTATCATTCAATGAAGTGTTGTATCATTCGTTGAAGTGTTGTATCATTCGTTGAATTGTGTATTATCATTTAACGACGCGTGCACCTTTCAAGAAAGTGTGTGTCATTCGAAGATGTGTTTCACCATTCAGTAGAGAAGTTGTGTGTATTATTTAAAAGAGAGATGTTTACATTTGAATTATTTATGGCCAATTTGTTATAATGAATTTTCAAACTTTTCCACCAGTCAATGCTCTGTTAAAGTCGTTTATATCAGAAATATTCGTATTTAATACTTAATTAGATGTACATATATTTTTGTGCTACTGTTGTAGTATTTCCGTGTACAAGAGCTTTAATGCTTCTGAGAGAGATATGTTACTACTTGTACGTGTATTGCAACTTGCTTTAACACCGTAATTACGAACAACCGGCGAAAGATGTTGGGCAAAGTCAGGTCAGAGATCCGTCCTGGCTGACAGGTTTGCAGTAATTTTTAGAAACCTAACATAAATCAAAACGAATTTTTTGGACTGTTTGATTCAAATGGCAACTCTCATTACATTGAAACAAAAAAATTTGAGCTACGGTATGGTTTAGTGGTCAGAGCCTATGCATCTAAACACAGGACTGATCTTCGACTTTACCGCTGTGTTTTAAGCACACATGATAGAGTACCACCGACCATAACGTATTTATCAATGCAATATACATACACTGTACCGAAACAGTCGAATGTGCCATTTTGTATTTATAACGGAAGGAGTTAAAGATTGAATGAATGACCATAACACTAATTAACATTATACTAGTATATGATCTCCGCTTTTCGTATATATATATGTATATATATATATATATATACATATATATGTGCTGGTAAAAGACCATAATTAATGCCGTAATTTATGAAATCTACCGAATTTCTAGCGAGAATGAATTAAAGAACTATATTATTCTAATTTTATTATAATATAATGACGATAAGAATTTGGTTAGAAATAATGAGAAATGTAACAAAAATTATTCATTGCTAGAAAGTCGATAGATTTCGTAAATTACTGTGTATATATATATATATATATATATATGTGTGTGTGTGTGTGTGTGTGTGTAATAAATATATATAGATATATAGGATTAAGACTCAGAAATGAATTATTTATGAAAGTCACAGCATGTTCCGCGTTAGTTAACTTCCTGTTTAATTTTTCTAACGGTATATATATATTTGCGTTTAAAAGATTGTTTTATCATTGATATTTTTGCTTTATATTATTGTTGTGTTTATTAATCTATTTATATCTATTTTTAACTATTAGATATTGTTGAAAATATTATTGACAGTCACTTTATCCAATATTGGATTTATATATATGATATACATATATTTATTTATTTGTATAGTTATTATATATATATATGTATATATATATATATAATGAATAGAATGTAACATGTACGTATGTATGTTCTAATCATCTATCTCTTTTTATACAATATATATACATATAACATTTTTTAAAGTTTTTTTGACCACGAAAAAGTGGAAATTGAGAAGTCAGTTTAATTATTGTTGAAATCATATCGGAATTATTTTGTTGTTTCCGTCGTTCAGCGAATTCGCAATTTTATTATTTTACGCTGAACGTTGTTGATCATCCTATGTTCTGTTATAAAAACGAGTTCTGAAATTGAGATTTCGGTTTCGAGTGAGATCCAATTTGAGTTAGATTAATATTAGATGCTCTCTTCTTACACCGCAGGTTTCCATTCAAATTAATCCATATCATACATACATTCGTAGAACGAGCACATTTACACATGTATTGTAAATGTTTTCCAATTGCATCACTCCACGTTATGTAAATGGAGATGTATATGGCTTTGGTAATGGAGATTGTAACCATTAGTAACGATCGAGTGTCATCCCATGTTTTGTATTTTCATTTGAAAATGAAATTTTTTTACTTAAAATATTACGAAATATGATTGATTTTCATTTAAACTTTTAAATCCAATATTCTGTCGCAAAAAATCACAATCGTTCAATTGTTTCTTTGTATTTTGTTAATTAATTAATTCAATATCGAAAATTCTAGTCATTTCATAACTTCATTATATTTTCCCTGATCTCAAAGTTACTAGATTTTTGGTTTAAATGCTATACAATGTTATTTATTACAATTTTTGTTGTTTATATTTTTTGTCACGCGAAGTTTTAGATCGAAATTCTCTGTGGTTATTGTGACCGTGAAATAAGTCACCCATCGATATTATCACTAGGCCGATGATATCTGAACTGTTGCTACTGTTACAAAACGTTGCAAACGTTACTAATTGTTAATAAAAAACTTGACACACACATTATATATATATATATATATATATATATATATATATATACTTATTTGGTCATTTGTTTTATGCATTTATGCCAGCTTACATGTATCTATTATATATTTATTTACATATATATATTTTCATATTGTTAATATAATTCTTAATTCGTTTTCATTATCTTGCAGTTACGAACGCAAATTAAGTGTTAATTGACACATGAATGGGAGCATGTTTGTTATGTAAAATTTTTGCTTGAATCCTATTTGGTTCATTTCAGGCCAAACAACTAGATGATTCATCCGATCATCAGCTTATTATACACATTATGTCAGATTTAACAAGTCATTCGTATACACATTTGTAGTACAAAGTAACAGTACGTGATGCGTGTGTGTGCGTGTGTGTGTGCGTGTGTGTACGTCCGCGCACCCATCATACACTGCAAAAGTTCAAGCCAACGTTTCAACAAAGTTAAATTTCTATTATATAATGATAAATTTATACATATTAATTTACTTAATATATTATAATTCTGAATTACTCTGATTAATGTGATATCTTAGTATCATTAACGTGCGTTTTTCAACATATAAATTATATTTAATAACTTAATAATTATTATCATTAACTAATTTAAAGAGTGAATATTCGTGATAGTCTCATTTATGAATTGCTTAATTTCAAGTTCAATCTAAGTCATTTTTTGTATGTACATTACACTACATGATATTATATATTTTTCGTTCATTGTGTACCGGCAAATCAGTGAATGTTTACTGTGCAATTATCACTTAACTAAGTAAATTGCGCTTTGAGAGCCCGCTGCTCTACTGCTACTGCTGCTGCTACTACTAGTACTACTAATAATAAAACTACCACTAATGCTATTATGGGTCGGTTAAAATTGTTTTGTTTGAGCTTGCAATGTTTCTCATAACTTGTTTTCCGTGACATTTTTTTCAATATCAAATAAAATTGATAGTCTTCCCTAAAAAGATACGAATACTATTAATCTGTCGTATGTTTGCATGACTTGACAGTTTGTTATGGAGTTTGCTTTCGTGTTGATGTCATCTACGTCCACTCGTTTATTATTGGTTAATATATATTTAGAACATAGCTCTTACGTATAGAGGTACATTATTTATATTATACATTTGAATTGTTATTTAGCGATCCATCTTGAATAATGACTATTTCATTTGACCAAATGGCCGAACTTTGAATTGATTTATTTATATTTATACAGAAGACCTATCCATTGATTTCAATCTAATATACTACTGCCACTTTTTAAACGATGGAGACCAATACATATTTTTTTGATTCATTCTAAGTCAAGGTCACACAACAGCACATTATTTATTACAAAATGACAATTGCTTGCAATGAAAATATCGTATTTTATGTTGGAATTTTTAATTTCATTGACTCGTTCATGTATATTTGAGCAGTCATTGTTCAGAAGTTCGAAATTAGTATTACCATTACAGGTGTTATTTTTTTAAAATTCATTTTCATAACCTTTCAAAAAAATGAATTGTTGTTAATTGAATGTGAATTGAGAAACATTTTTGTTATTAATAGATAATAACATAGCTGTTTTATTACTTTTAGTTGATTGTTGTTGTTGGATAATAATCATTCCGGGAGAGATAGATGAAATTAAAATGATGAATATGGGAATTTGCTTTCACTTTTTTATATTTTCTAAACTATACGTGAACAGTCATTTATATAATACTATAAACAGTACAAGCATTGTGTAAGAAATGAATTTCTGATTCGCGCAGTTATTAAACACGCACGTGCGTATGCGTTGATCAGGCCAGAAACATCAGAGAGGACATCTCAGAACCAGAAACATCTGAGGGAGGACATTTCAGAACCATCAAGCTAGAGCCTGGCAAGGATGATTTTGTGGAAAGAACCAGCCACACAAAAGCACATCGTGTCGCATTCAAATATAGTATGATGCACTTTAAATGCCAAACAGTGCTTGAGTGGAATTCACAAGCTTCAGCTGCATGGCGCGTTGCTACAAATACATTTCAGTGGCGACGCGATATATTTATTTACGTAACGTTCTTTTAAAGGTCTCTAAAGAGCGATTAAGGATCTCTAAAGACTAAAGAGTGACCATATGATTTTATACACCTAAAATAAGCATACACCATTTCTGAATCTGACAGATCGAAGAACACATAAGTCAATAAAAGTATGCACGTGTTCATTAGAATTACACAATAATAAAAATTTAATGTAGGGCGTTTGAGACTACCTGGATGTTAAATATGCTGTAAATTAAAATATACATGTATATGTGCATCTAATAAATGTATGTTAATAAATAATGTAAAAGATACTTGTATAGAAATTTCACTAGACACATGCATGATGGGAAATATTAAAAATCTGTACTGATTACAAGAGATATAAAATATAATCAGAGCAGAAGCAAATAAAAAATAATGTCAATGTCAGTGATTTACAATTACACTAAACTAAAATAATTAATGGCAATGTAAAACAAACAAATGAAATATATATATTCAAATATTTTAAAAGGAGAAACTACTCAAAAAATTACTACACAATTTAAAAGCGCAAGTTGTCCAAGCATTAAAGATTAAACATAAAAAAACTAATGTATATGAAAATTGCATTTGAAGTTTAAATATTTAACGATGATTCAGCTTTGATAATATCAAATTTTATTGAGCACAACAGCTGATACAAAATCTTCATAACCGATCTGAACGAAGCCACTATTTGCAGTGTCTCTTGCACGAAACTGCTCCGTTATATTTTTTATGAGAATGCATGAATGAATGAAGTAATCGAGTGATATACGCTGTTGACCACTCATGTCGAATCTGTACACAACTGACTGAGAGAACTGAGGTGACAACCTGTAACCCATTTGGAGATAAGCACTGTGCAATTCATTTCCATCAATTGTCCCTGATCTATCTCTGTCGAACTGATCAAATATAGTTTTCCATTGATGTATGTAAGTCCACAAACCTACAATTATAATTATGAACATTTTAAGTGGTTTATTTTATAATTTATCATATTTTAATGAGAAACCTTGAAATTCATTGATATCAATCTGACCACTTTTGTCCCTATCAAACATTGTTATCATCAATCTGCATGTGTCCAGATTAAATTTGGACCAGTTTGCATTTGTAAGAGCCATTTGTAATTCATTAGCATTGATTTTTCCAGTCCTATCTCGATCAACTGCCTGAAACCATTGAAACACATTTGGATCAACTCCAGAGGGTGCATTACCACCAACGCCACCACCCCAATTCTGCCCTTGAGGAGGCACTGCTGGATTGACAGGCTTAGAAGGGTTTTGTGGGGGGTTGAAGCCAAAACCTCCAGCCTGGTAACCACCAGCTTGACCTCCTGCAGGCTGATTCGGATAACTTCCAGGCTGTTGGGGATAGCCACCAGGTTGCTGGGGATACCCACCAGGTTGTTGTGGATAACCACCGGGCTGCTGTGGATAACCACCGGGCTGTTGGGGAGGGTAGCCACCTCCTGGCCCCGGATAACCAAAATTTGACATTTTTATTTTTAAGATTAAAAATAATCGATGGACGGAAGTGATTTAAAGATCGAACGAACAGCTCCCGCAGTAGCAGTAGACAAGAATAACTCAGTTTAGTTAGATCGCTTACATTCACAACCAAAGAACTTTCAATTTTTATGGATAAATATTACGATGTAAGTGAATTATGATTGCTGGCTATTATAATTAATTGAATTGAAATTGAAGTATACCACTAGATCTAAAAATTGATCAAAAAGCGTTTAAGTCATTATATTGTATATCTCAGGATCTCTCTGATAACTCGAACCCATATACTTAAAACCTATATTACAGAACGTATATAATAAATTGGTTCAATATACAGATTTTGCTTAGAGGAAGTCATTGCTGCGCTTGCTTCCAGTTATGTTTTTAGTGGGAAGAATACTATGGGGCAATACCGTTTAAAGCTAAAAAAGTACCCCGCTCGTGTACCACATGACTAACAAACCAGTACGGTCAGGCATTTACTGAGCAATAAATATAAGACATATTTCAGTAGTTACAATTAGGGGAAAATGTTTTGGAGTCAAAGCTGAGAAATTAGAAAGAAAAATTGAACTATACCACATGACTCAAACTTTTACGTCATAATATTGAAGATTTCATTATCATGAATTTATCCAGGCATGTTTTTAACATATATAGTATAGAATAATAACGACAGGGACCTGATTATTATAGATATGATCTAGTATTTTATACATATATATACGTACATACACACACACACACACACATATATATATATATATATATATATATACACACACACAAGTACATATATATGAATATGATATTAAAGACTTAATATATATTATAGATGCGTGTATTTTTGTATGTATGTATGTTATATGTATGTGTGTGTGTGTATGTATATATGTTTGTATGTATGTGTGTATGTATGCATGTATGTATGTATGTATGTATGTATGTATGTATGTATGTATGTATGTATGTATGTATGTATGTATGTTTGTATGTATGTATCCATTTACCTTTTTAATTTATCTTTGCATCACGTGATGTTTGTGTAAAGATTTTATTTATTTATGCTTTTATTTTATAGAGACAAAATGTTGCTTGGATCCTGATGAATTTAGTAAATTGGCTTAGTTAGTGTAATTTAAAATTTTCTATTCATCGGATGAATATTAAAGATCAAAGGTACATTTTTTGCATTTTTCTTTTGATTTATTTATTTGCCTATTTTATAAAAAATACAGAAAATTACACTGTTCTTCTTTTCTGTGTTCTTCTGTGTATTTGTATTGTCATTCAAGTTTTGTTTGTTTCTGCTCTGCATGGCTTTCTTTGAGTTAGAGTTAAAAACTTCCACATTTTTTACCTAATTTTATATATTTCTTGACAAACGGAAATAAATCTGATTCATTGTTGATTGTTGGGTTCATTTCATTGAATGTTGAACCTCAGCATTACTGTTGATCTGCCTGTTTGGTATTTTTTGAGTGTTTTTGGTTTTTTTTCTATTCTAATGGTAAATTGTTCTAAATGTGTTTTTTTATTCATTTATGTAATCCCTAATAATAGACATGATGAATAATCAGTAATAGATAAATTTTTATTTATTTTATTTCATTTGTTTAGTAATTAGATGTTAGATTAATAATTAATGTAATTAATTATTTAATACTATTGTTAATTAGTGATTAGTCATTTGTCTTTAAAATTATTTGTTTGAAACTGACTGACAGATGAGATGATGAAGTGATGTGATGAGTTATTTATGTGCAATAATATAATTTTACATTTTCAAAAATTTAATTAGGTTGTTTGTTTATGTTATAACATATATTGTAGATATATATTTTTTATATTATAAATTATATAATATATTATATTTTCTATAATATATGTAAAAAAATGTATGCAGTAAATTAGCTTTTTAAAATTCAACTTTTAAACAACTGTATTTCAGAAGATTTTAAATTCTGATAATTAAACTTTATTGAATTAAACTAAACATGATGAGAAGGTATTAATAATTAATTCAGTTACTAAATTAATTAATTAATTAATTATACCTTCTCATCATTTTTAATTAATTATTTATACCTTCTCATCTTGTCTATGCTTATCTGACTGATTAATAAATAATTGAGATAAAACAAACTAGTTTGCATTAAATTTATTGTCTTATGTAGGACATCACTTTAAAATTGAAAAAAGGACATCACTTAAAAGAACTGATAAAAGTTTAAAAGAGAGATGAAGGTCAACTACTTGCTTGGAGTTGGAATTGTACTCTCGCTGATTGGAGCATCCCTACTGGCTGCCCTTGTCATCATGTACGTGATCCCTTACATTCCTACCAGGCACTACATGGAAGGAGTCTGCAATCTTACTCATTGTGATATGTCGGATACGATAGTGACATGCAAGTGTCAGACCAGTGGATGCATATCGAGTTATCCATGCACGAATGTCCTCGTCAACCTACTGACGTATGGTGACAAAACAAAAAATCTAACCCTCTATAATACTTTCTACACTTATGAAGCACAAAAGATAACAGGGGTTTGTTTGTTTGTTTGTTGAACAGTTTAAATTGCATTTACTTCTAACATAAAGCAGAAATGGAAGTGACATTTTTTAATAAGAATGGATCATTGTTCCTTTGTCCGCCTGTTTGTTTGTTTGTTTGTTTGTTTGTTTGTTTCTATAATAATAATAGCTGTGTGAAATAATAATAAAGATAAAAAATATGATAGCAGTGATTATAGTGAGATTCTTACTTTCTGTTACCCTTACCATATTATAAATCTTTGTAAAACTAATTGAAAAGTAACAACTAACAATTTAATGAAAAATTATTTTCTGCACCCCTCCTCTCCAGTGCTCCTATCACAAGTGTGGACATAACTCTAATGAGAACAAAGAAGCAGTTGCAAATTTCATTTCAAAAGTCAAAAAAAAATTTGGCGAGCCGTTCAAATGTTACTATAAAAATGTTGAAGATTTGAACACTTCCAACACCTCGGATGTTGACCCAACTAACAACAACACAAGCAACATCATCCCTTCCTCAGAGGCAGGCAGCCAGAATGGTGAAGTAAATTTTGTTCTACTTGAAATTGTGATGCTCAGTGAAGTGGTCAACAGCATCTTCTGGCCGTCTCTTGCTCTTGTGTTGGGCTGCATAATCTTTCTAACTCAACTCTGTCGAATCACCTCCCAAGGGGGTGAGAGGGGTGCCAAGAAATCTCCCTTCAGCTCGTTGGAACGTCAGTGGGCGAGGATCAGGGAAAGGAGCAGCTACAGTCATCAGAGGATGGCTTCAGAGAGGCTGGTCGGCTCTGACAAGTTGGAAGAAGTTGGACACATTGCACAAGTTGTTGGATGAATGGCTGGCTGGCTGGCTGATCGGTTTACTACGCTATCTATCTACGTCATATTTTGTAAATTGTCAATAAAAATTTGTAAACATTGAGATATTATTTTCTTTTTCAAAGACCATCATCATATTTCCATGCGACTATTATTTTTATCTACATTATTCATATTTCATTTCATTCATTGCATTAGTCATGTGTTGTACATAAGTATGTGCAAGTGTGTGTGTGCGTGTGTGTATTGTACATCGTTTTTGTTGACTTATTTTAAATCACAAATTTCAATTTTAGGATAACTTACTGTATCTGCATATTTAAACACATAACGTATTTCTTGAAATAGTATTACGTCTAGTGATTAGTATTAAGTAATGTTGCAAATCAGACAAATGTATATTATATATACATATATATATACATATATATATACACACAATATTTAGCTAGTAGCAATCTTTAATAGATTTTGTTATTTTAGGAGTAATCTTCTCTTTCATGTTGTTTGGGTGCACAACTAGATCATAATTACTGATCAATGCATGCAATATAACTTCAAATCAATAATAAATCGTAAATTAGATACTCGGTCTGGCCTTTATGAACTCCCTTCTTTATATTTCCACTTGGTTTTCTTTCATGTTGGAGACGTTAAATTTGTTTAGCTTAAAATTTGAAAACTTTATGTAGTATGAAGTGGCCAGGAAAAAAAATTGGCATGGGATAAGATAATTTATTGGCGAAATGATTAAATGATAATACATCATCCAATAGAGTGGATTGTGGTGGAAAATATAAAAGTTATTCAATGTACTAATGATCAGATGGTGGAATTGTTAATTTTATTTCTAATTATTTAAGTTTTATAAAATTTACTTTGACTCAATTGATTGGTCTTAGTAACGCTTTTAGAAGACTTATGCTGGACAAAATTTTGTAAACTGGATCGGGTCGTCTGCTTGCCAGTTGAGTTGATATTATTATAAATATTATGACTTGGTTTTATTGGCACTACTTTCCTGAAAAAGACAGTTTATTGTAAAACTGGGAAAGAGGAACAAGATTGGTTTGGTATTTGGACGAGGACTTTGTGTTAAAACTATTTTTTATTTATATTTATCTGGTTAGAAATTTATTTTATTGCATTAGTTAGTTGGAGATAGGGTCCATGGTATCAGCATGTCATTGATAAAGATAAATGTTGTTTTGTATGTATATTTTATTGTTAATTTCTCAATTAATTTTACTGCTTTGTGGTGTAGTTTGTGTGAGTAATGATATTACATTGCATTAATATGGTGATATTAATTCTGTTCTTATGTAGACATTCTGATATCTTGTAAAAAAAAATCATAATTTAACGAAAAATTTCTACGACTCATATTCAACATACTGTTGAATGGTTATAATTGTTGATTAGGATGCCGTTGTATCCTTATTTGTTTGACGATGACGATGAGGATGGTAGATCTGTGATTCGACCACTGTGTGCATGCAAATTATAATGTTATCCTCTTTCTATAGACCATCGGCATACTATGAATACGGTCTTTAAATATCGTTTTTGTATAAATAGGTCGAGGAGGAAGTTCAGCTATCAGAATTATTTGGCAAATGAGAAGCAACAGTGCCGTAATCATAAATGTTCTGTTTTTTTGTTATTCTTCGGAGACTGTTCATCTTGTGTTAATTAATGAACTGGGATTGGTAACAATTTCATCTTCTCCACATATTGGCGCAGCTTGATTCTATATTGGCACCGCTGGTTTGCGTAGTATAGCACCGTATTTCTGCCACTGTTTGCCATGTTATATATTAATGTTTCGACACTGAATTTCATTTTTTGAAGAATTCTCTGGAAACTTTCATGTATGTATACCACAGTGAAGTATTTTTTATTTTATGCTGACTCAGTACGGTTGTTCATTTCGTCTTGCTCAGTCTGGCTGCTCCCACCTGGTGATGTTGGTGAGAGCGACGATGAACTGTCAACTGTCTCATCTTAACAACCATGCCAGAGCTTCTTTCACTTAACCATCCGTTAATTGCATTTAAAATCTATATATATATATATATATATATATATATATATATATATATATATATATATATATATATGTTTATTGTGTATTTATTATTTAGTTTGATTTCATACTTTATATTATTTTATGCCACATTTTCAGTATTTCAAGTTTTTTTTTAGTGCATCTGCATGCCGTGAGATAATGATGACGTTGAAAGTACTGACTGTCGGGTACGCGTGTACTTGCATTAATACATCTTTTTTCTGTCATTCTTGTGTATATATATATACATATAATTGATATATATAATTGTTGGTGATATATTTAGTATTATCACCAACAATTATTAATTATATATTAATACTATATTATTAATAGTATATAAAATATATAATATAATAGTATAAATATATATTAATACTATATTGTTAATAGTTTGTGAGAATTTGAGAACTACGTTAGCTTGGACAATTTAGAAAAAATCCTACTTGTGCTGTATATATAGCTATATTTATTTGCGTTAAAGACATTTACATATTCAAACGAACTCACACTATTTAAGCATGCGTAGTCAGTTTATTCACTGCATGCTATATATATATCCACATCCCCATTGATATTTTTATAGATTTATTTACTTATTTACATAACACGAACAAGGTTTCTGATGTGATGTGTGTGTCTGTCTGTGTGTGTGTGTGTGTGTGTGTGCGTGTGTGTGTGTGTGTGTGTAAATCTAGTAGGTTGTTATGTTAAGTTCTGGAGGATCTATGCTGTGCTTGATTATTAGATTATTTTTGTAGTGAGATTTCTCGTTTGTATCATCATTTGTATATATAAATTTTTTATTAGAATCCAATTGTCAAGTAATTTCATTTGAACAATAACAATAGCTTATAACATTTTGTTTTAATGTCGTCTTGTTTCTCATATAAATATAACAAATTTATTTATTTCTGAATTTGCGTAAAATTCGCTAAGCTATAAATACGAGCAAATGAAATGCATTAATGAGTTTTATCTTAGATAAGTTCACCGAATATAAGAAAAATAATTTTAGGCGGTTATCGGGTGAAAACTATCTCAATAAAAATTAGGCTGCCTTCGTGCCTTGATTCTATAACATTATCGGGATATAAAGTGCGGCCTACCAATTCACAGTTCACCTTTTTTTTGTTGCGCTCTGTAGTGGCGAAGCAGATGTTTCCCTTCTGTTTCGGTTCTTGTCGGAACAATTTTTCTTCCTGTCTTAAAATAATTAAGGACATTGTCAATCAAGCTTTAACGCTGCCATTTTACATTCTTTGTTGTAACTTACATTGCTTCGTTTTCAAACTTTGAAATAATACCGACAAATCCGCTTGTACATCCATTGAATAGCTGGGATGGAAAGTTAATTAGGATTTAGAGTGAAAATCTTCAACGAAATTTGGTTCTTACTTTAGAGTAAAAATCTTTAACAAAATTTTGTTTTTCATCCTTTCAAGTAGTTCGTCCGTTGTTACAGCTCCCACTGTTTTTGCTTCTTAAAGTTTTCAAATTTTAGTTTCTTTTGTAAAGTATAATTTTTTGTTATTACTGTTTTCTGTCACAATTGCATCTCTTGAACCATGAAAAATAATCAAAATTATGTTACTGATCGTCTTCTTTATTTCAACTTATCGTATGAAACCTTTTAGTTAAGGTAACTAGACAACTGAACCTTGTTTTATTAATTAAAATGTGTTTATTGTTATTGTCGTGTCATCTCATTAATATCTTACGATTGTATTTTGTATGTCGCTTTGTTTTATTCGTGAGTTAGATGGCTTTCAATTCATTTTGCAATACAACTTTGCGTGTGTACAACGACATGCAAATGATTTAAATTTTTGTATGAGTTTAGTTTCATCTAGACGAGGAAAATACATGCAGAGTAATATTCAACTGAACTATAAGTGTGTTCACTGAAGCGTTAAACACGATTGGTTTATGATTAATATCAATAACACTGCATGAATAACTGCTTTTGAGATATATATGCTTCTTCCTATTAAACACACTTAGCTCCGAATAACATTTCTATACACAGTTGATGAGTAGATACTGATACAATTAAATGTTTTTTTCAAAAATTTAGAGATTGTGAATCCGAAGCGTGCGACTAATTTGAAATAATTTTATAAAGGCTGATTGATAGGTTGACCAATAGACAAAGGTCTAGGAACTGTAATTTTTAGGGGCTCGAATTTAGACACTAACCTTATTGCAAATTTATATAATTTTTATTTGAATATTAACATTTTAATTAAACAGTTTAGGAAACAAAGAACAAAATAGAATCAACAGGAATCAAAGGCGTAAAGATAGCCTATCAGAGCTGAAGCGCTCTAAAACTGCGGAAGAAGAAGAAGAAGTTTAGCAAACGTTCATCGCGTCATATTTACACAATGATTCTTGTTTCAAAAATTTTGTGTTGAATTTTAAATATTTTTTGCATAACTTTTTGTTTTATTTTTTCGTATAATTGCCCTCTAATGATCATATGCACAATGTTTGAAAAATTGTAAAGACTGCAGTCACTCTCAAGGCAGTTGTCTGGTTTGATATTGGCATCCAGCAGTCCATTAAGCAATTGATAAGTTGGTACCATTTCTCCTCTTTTTCGTCTGTAAACAAGTGAAGGCCACCCTAGAAGCTTCAACTTATCCTCATATTTTAATCCTCTGCATTGGAGTGGTGTTCTGGATGCTCGTTTTTGAACCATTTCTAAGTGATGAATTTGGTATTTTTTAAAGGGGGTACCGCACAACCACATCATATTCCAGAGTTGACCTAACCATATAGATTTATAAAGAAGCGAAAAAGTAACCTCGCAAGAAAAAACACAAAATTAAATACGATATTAACATTAATTTTAAAATATAAATAATTAATTCAGAAAAGTTTAATTACAAATTAATAAAACTATTAATATACTTTCGGATGGCAGACAAATCACGACAAATAAAAAAAATCTTTCCCAACCAATTCAAACTGAACCGCCAACAAATATTTTTTTTGTCATTCTTCGACATACAAATGTATATATACAAATTAATCACAACTTTCATCTCCATTTTTATCTCCATTTTCATTTTCCAATATTTTACAAATGCACACCTGAAACATTGCATGAAAGGAAAATTTTCCCGCGCACATTCTAAGTCAGAAACAACTACTATAAACTTTTCATTCTCAAGCAATGATCATTTTATTTAAACTTATTAAAATTCTTTTAAAGTAAGTAAGTTGACTCCAATGCATCAAAATTAAATAAAATTGAATTGAATGACAATGAAATGAATTCAAACACGTTAAATTCGTTAACAAATTATTTTTGAGCTAAATATTCGTGCATTGAAATACGTTACTACAAAATATATGATCAAATAACTCATCAGCTTCATCGTCGTTTGTAAAATATTCAATTGCTTGTTTTATTTGTCGTTAGTTAGTGCATCCCCATTTAGAAATTAAGAGCGCGCCTTCACTTTTTAAGATGAAGAGTTTATCTAATCGAGTTATGAACAAGTCACGGACAATCGGAGTAGAGAACGAATGCAAATTTAGCAAATTTCTTCCACAGGTGGACAATAAAATGAAACAATGTTATTTTTAATTTACAAATAATGAAAGTTTGTTTAAACATTGTCTGCATGATTGCACGTCAACCAAACGGATAACAAAATTTCTAAATTCCTATTGGGCAGTTCAAAAAAATTAAATCTTTCCACGTAACCAATAGCAACACGACCTCTGCTTCAATGAAGATGCATGCATCGGTGATTGGTTGCATCGAGGGATGACGTCGTCTGTATTTGATGTGGACCACGTTTCTATTTTTACTCGTTCTATGTCACATCATTCTCAGGGATTGAAAATAATTCATTACATTGTGTATGTGGGTATATGCATATATATACATTATATATATATATATATACATCTTATATATATATATATATATATATAATAGTTTTGTTTGGCAGGGAACAATTCTTCAAGAGATTTAGTTGTAAATATATCTATTTCTAGCTACACTGCTCCCACAATATTAACAATAGTTGTGCAAATTAGCATGGTCCTCGTTTGGTGAGCAGCTTGTCTGTGTGAGGATATTTGATGTTATAATTATTACTATTGATGTCTGTTTATGATTTAATTGATCATTTACTTTGTCTCTTACTAATTTCGCGCTAACTTAAACAGAATAAGTGCACCCGTTCTTTCGCCGTTATATTTGTATTATAATAATAATTATCATTAGATTTGTCAGTACTGCTAGCTGCCTGAATGTTTTCCGTCGTAGAGTGAACATCAGACTTGAAGTGCACGCAGTCTGTTGATCTTTACTTTTGTAATTGTGTTAAAGTTGAATATTTTCACCGCTACTGCCTTTTTAGCGGCGTATATTTCAGATTTGTTTGCTTAATTGTATCTCTTTATGTATCTAATTTTCATTTGATTGACTGAATTTATTTTGCAATGTCAAATTGTTTCAATTGATTTACGTCTAATGTTCCATTCATGGACGAGTTTTTCTGATTCACGACATGAGTAATTTTGTTGAAGTTCGGCACAAACTTTGGAATCCCTGGCTGGAAGCAGGCGAGCAGTCGAACACTAAGGAAGTCCTCCTTCCACTTAATTACTGCACGAAAAAAGTTCAAACATCCGATGAACGTGATTTTAATTTTCCTGGAAACAATATCAAAGTGGAAAAATTGTGTTTAAACGGTAGGTTGAAAAATGATAGTAATGATTGTGTGAATTTTTTAAACGAAAAAACTGAATTAGAAACTAAATGGGACCAAAAATGTGAATTACTCAACATCAAAACTGAAGAAAAGTGTTTCATTTCAAATGATTGTTACGATACAGAATTTGAAGCGCCACAACAGTTTGCAGAGGATTCTGAATGTTCTTTCAAACTCAAACCACCACCCCATAAACTCGTGAACAGTTTCCACCCCCATCACCAGCAACAATGTAGCAACTACCTCCCTGGCAAACAGTTTAGAAATTTTGATGCTTATTCTACCAACGAACAATCATTTTTTCCACCATTTTCAAACTCATCCTTGTCCCCGATGACGCTAGGCCTGCTTTCCAAACTGATGAGCTCCTGGAATAAATACAATTATTTTTGCAATTATTTTCAACAGTCGGGCAGGTGTGCAAACGCCAGCCTGCTCAGCGACAGATCGAACATGCAGGACGTTCACCCGTTCGCAAATTTTGTTTTTGATAAAGACATAAAAATAAACAGTTTTAATGATATTCAAATTTCCAACAAGTCGGATGATAACAATTCAGATGCGCCGCCAACAAAAGATGATGACGTAGATAGCGGTTGTTCAAGCGGACTCTTAACAGACAGCAAGTTGGCAAAACCTTTCATTGACTTGGAGCACTTGAAATGCATGAAAACCCATCCATTTGTGTCTACATTCGCTGCTAACATCAATGTTACTGATGTTAATCGTTTGGTTGGCTCCACAGACCATGTAGCTTACAACCCGACATATTACAAAGAGTACATCAAGAGAAGTGACGAACTTTACACCAATCCTGACTCGAACAATGACAACCTCGTAGGAATGTTCCACGGTGAGGACACCAATATTTTTGAAAAAAGTAGCAGAAGCAGCTGCAACAAAAACAACACTTCAAACCACAACACGAAATTCAACAACAACAACAACTACTACAACAACAATATTAACAGCTTGGATTTTTCAAAAGGACTCTCCCATTGTGAAATGTGCTCCATACAGTTTCCAAGTTCTTCTGCCATGCTCCAGCACAAGGTTCCCATTAACATTTACATTGATTATATATTAGCGTTATTATCATTTATAAGATTTTGTCATTAATTATTATTGCTATTGAAATTATTGTCATTTTCATTAAACGAAATTGACAAAACTTTCACAGAAACCAAAATAGAAGCAGCAAAAGCAGCTACTGTTACAAAGTGTACAGTTTGATGAAAGCTAATTGTAAAGCTTGCTCTGCCACTAATTAATACTGCCACAAGTACTCTTAATATAAATTTTTTTACTACTATTTTTACCTCTACGACCACTATACTACTATTAATGTCATATTACTACAACTACAACTACTGCTCTTTTTGCTACTGAGGCATCTGCGGCTATTGCTGCCGCTACTACTGCTGCTGCTGCTGCTGCTGCTGCTGCTGCTGCTGTTGATGTTTCAACTACCGCCACTTCTTTTAATAGTATTAACCGTGGTGATCAAAATAGGTCACCACGGTTGATACAACCAGCGTTGTTGCAGTTCATTTTCTTATCAGGCAGTCATTAATTTTTTTACCAGCGCTTCAATGCTGTTCAATCCTGTCTCTAATTTATTAATGCCGCTGTAATTAGTCATTTTTTTTCAATATTTGCACGTCGAAACAATGTAACAATTTGTATTAACAAGTCAGATTAGATTTTTCTTCTCCAACTGAAATGTGTTTCGTGATTTAATGCGTGCATTCATTTATGAGTATTTTAAGTTAGCACCAGTAACAAACAATTTCCGTTCATAATAATGAAGCTCAAGCAATTTTTTACTATTATAGTTATACTTTAGTTTAATGTTGATGTCAGCTTGTTTGGTGGTTTGTGTTGGTTTTCCTACTACACTAGGCTTACTACACTACATGAATTTTCGTTTTCATTTCTCAGTGATATTAGTAATAAACCTAATATAAATACAAATCAATGCATGTAAAGTTGTAAATAATAATGGTGAAAGTAATATTAAAAAAGTTAGCACAAATAAACTTTACAAACTACTTTGTTGTTTCTCGTCCTGCGTGTGTATGTGGTATGTGTTGTGTTTGTGTGTGTGGTGTGTGTGTAGTCAAGTTCAATTTTCAATTGAAACATATTTGCAGCAACTATCAAACAAAATATCGGGCAATCAACTTAGCAAATCATTTCGCAGAAAATTATATTTACTCTTCTGTTCGGTGTTTGAGAGCAGAAGAGATTATCAAATCATGTTTGCAGTAGCATCATTATGTGTGGGAACCAAATGTCAACAAATATGTGCGTGCTTGTGCGTGTGTGTGTTCGTGTACCTGAGCAATTTTGTTATATCCTTATATCTCTATATAAGTTGATTTGTGCCATCAATAATTAAACAAACTAATTGCTGAAATGACATTTAAAAGTAACATCAAGAGATGCTGTTGAAAGATCTCAAGAGCTGACAAGAATGCTGTTAGCGTGTATTTTACGTAGTATTAACTCATTTGAGCACCCCCACCGCGTTTTGCATACTTTTATGTAGAAACAAATTTTGCAAAGGTTGTTAATTTTAAATTTTGTAACTTGATTTACAAGTGGCATCTCTTTACTTGTCTGTTTTCATTTTAATGCCCTGTTATTTGATGTTCTCGTTAATTATTAGAGGCGCACTGAGATCCGGATTCGTTAATCTCACTCGCCTCATTAAGTCTGCCCGAATCTCAAGACCTTTCAAGCTTAAAACATGCCTGTCCTAATATTTCATATTGCTGTTTTATCAATTTGCAACACCATAATTTTTTATTGTCTTATTTATTTCAGTGTAGATACATAATTTTGTAGAAGTAAACAAAATTTTTGACCTAACAAAACACGCCACAGTTGAGGACGCACAGACTGGAGCGCAACTTCCCATGTGCCATATGCGGCAAGAGGTTCAAGAGGTCCTCCACCCTTACGACCCACCTGCTCATCCACACTGACACCCGACCATACCCCTGTCAGTACTGTGGCAAGAGATTTCATCAGAAGTCAGACATGAAGAAACATACCTACATACATACAGGTGCGTCTATGTGAATGTGTCTATATGTTTAGAATGCGAGTTGGTGTTGAATGTAAGTGGCCTCAAGATGTCAGGGTTTTAATACCGAACAATAATCCATGTTCATATGGGAAGAGTAGCTACTTCTTAAATCGTGTCATCTTTACGGTGATAATGTTGAAGATGATCACGATCACAATTATAATAATGATTATGAAAATGATAGTGCCACACGTGACGATAAGTAAAGGCGACGTAAATGATAGCTTGTGTGAGGGCGATGAATGATAATTGGTAAAAGTCAGACATTTTAAATGTTGTAATATTGTGTTATATAATATTGTGCAATCAACTGTTACAATCGCTAGACATTCATTTTGTTTTCTATATCATTGTGAGATGCCAAACAAATGGCATGATATCTAGATGGCTTGTATCACTGTGCTTTCATGAACCGCAAGCATCATCATTGCTATCATCATTGCTATCATCATTGCTATCATCATTGCTATCATCATTGCTATCATCATTGCTATCATCATTGCTATCATCATTGCTATCAGTGGCGGATCTAGACAACTATGACGGAAAACGCAGAACTCTTGAAAATGTTTAAATTTTGAAATTTTTTTCAAATTATGACGGGATCAAGATTTGTGGTAGTGCTGCCAAAATTAGGTTGGCGACCTTTTTTTAATATAAAATAGTGCTTTTTCTGTGCAAAGACATAAAGACATGGCTTCCTTCCCCTAGCTTCGCTAATTGTAATCATCATTGTAATAAACATTGTGATCGTCGTCATTGTGATCATCAGTGTAATTATCATCGTAATCTTCAGTTCAATCATCATTGTGAACATTACTTTGAAATGTAATCAACATTTTCATTATCATTGTAAAGGTCAAAATTAAACAATCTTCATTATAGAACTTTTAAAGGTTTATTTGTCTAATAAATGTCCAGGTTTTCGTATGCAAAAGTCTCATTGGCATTTCTGTTCTCGTTACTTGGCTGTCTTAACCTCACTCTGACTCCGATTCAAAACATTCGCTATCGTAAAGCGAACAACTGTCACTCATCTGAAAACTGCAAATGTGTATTTAGGGACCTACAAGTCACAACGCACATTTACTTTTAATATCGCACATGCAATCATAAATATAGACGCACGCACACACACACACACACATATGTGGGCACAGTCAACAAACAGATCGCATACAAACACACACACACACACACACACACACACACACACACACACACACATAGCCTACGGATCGCCTACGGATCGCATACATACCAAATGGCATCAAATAGCAATGAAACTGAACAAACAAAAGTCAATGAAGCGTGTACAAAAAATTAATTGAAGAGGAACGAAGCATGAAACTCAAATATAATATATACATACATACATGAAAATTATCAATGATTCGAAAAATGTTAAACTATTAATTAGCAAAGTTGACTAACTTTTTCAGCATTTATTTTTATTTGCATTGTCTGAAAAGCATACCAAAGACTGTGAATATGAACAAATAAGATCATTAAATGGTATTTATTTTTCAACAGACAACAATAATTATTAAATAATTTCAATTAGTCTAAACAAAATTTTGTGGACTGGTCAAGCAGGATGTGCCAGTATAATTATTAACCGAATCATCGTTATTGTGTTCGTTGTGGTTGCTATCCGATACGTGTTTGTTTGTTTGTTTGTGTGTGTGTGTGTGTGTGTGTGTGTGTGTGTGTGTGTGTGTGTGTGTGTGTGTGTGTGTGTGTGTGTGTTTGTAAGAGGAACTGTATTTTACTGTACTGTCTTCAAGTTTTGCACCATCTTCATGCCATTTTTTAATCTTCGTATAGCCCTTTTAAAACTTAAGCAAGTTAATGTTCGTAAGCGAGCAGCCAGAAGGCAATAATAATAATTCAAAATTTATCAGCAGACCCTATTCATACTAAAAAGGTAATGAAAATTACCCGAACTTATAAACGTGGTACAAGTTAAAATATTTTTTAAAGGTTGTTCTTTACGTCACATAGCTAGCTATATCCTGCCTAAATGACAGAGTAGTGACCAATGGAATAGTGTGTGGAACAATGGAATAGTTTATGAAACAGTTGAATAGTGCTTGGAAATTATTGTTGCGTAACTAAATCGGGCAGTTGATTGCTTTTTACAAGTTCATTTAACAACAGAGGTTTAACAAATATCGTAGAAGTTTATCATAACATTTTATAGAATAGAAAGACACTTAATACAAAAATCTCATCAGCTCATACAACGACAAGAAACAAATAAAAAATACAAACATACAAACGTATATACAGACATTCGCAAACACGTGTGCATTCACGCATCGCATTACTTGTCCCCTGGAGTTTTATCAACATACAATCACAAATTGCAACTGTTTACCAACAAGCAGAAAGGCAAACATAACTGCTCAAGTTTTATGTGTATAAGTATGCATGTGTATGTGTTTGTGTGTGTGTTTGTGTGTGTATGCGTGTGTGTGTGTTGTGTGATGTGTTTGTAACCTAAAAAACGGGAAGAAATGTTTATATTTTATAATTTATTTCTATATTGACCGGTCATCATACACTTTTGCAAACAGGTTAAGTTGTTCTTTAAGATAAACAAGTTTCTACGGTCTGGGTTAGTTAGCTAAGTATGAGAGTAATTAGGCGCAGCTACATGACAAGTATTAAGGATCAAGCAACAAATGCACATGAGCTCTCAGTACTAAGATGCAAGAAAAATATCATAAACAAGCAATCATGTCAATAATTTATTGAAGTACAAAATAGTTGAGGTCGTTGAAATGTGTGGGACCTGTTTGCTGGTTTCTATGTGTTCGCAAAAATAAGAATAGACAGCATGAAACGTATGTTTCTGGACGTATGTCGAAATACTATTCAGCCATCCAAGCCACGTTAATGTGCCTACATGCATGCATTCTATCATGATTAGAGTACACAAAAGAGATACACCAGTGCGCCGAACTAAGGATAACGTAACATTATTATATAATATACGAATATGTATATTCATATGTATATGTGTGTATTTATTTGTGTGCATGTATGTGTGCATGTGTGTGGTGTGTGTGTGTGTGTGTGTGTGTGTGTATGAACACGTGACATTGGGATGCGTGTGACGTCATGCGATAAATAGCCGTTATTTAAAATGGTTAGTTTGGTGATGGCTAGCTACAGAGACACACATGCGCACGTACGTAATGTTAGACGTAGTAATATAAACATGTGATTTTGTTCATACCTCTTTGTTTTGTTTGCTTGTTTGTACTTGTTCGTTGTTCATCTGTCCGTGTTATTTGTCATCATGTATTTTTATTAATCATCATAATTTGGATGTCAGTGTTCGTTCAAGAGGTAGGCCAGCTGCAGGTTCACTATCGCACATTCATTGATGGTTTTAACATCTGTACCAGTGTGCATGCAAGCACTGTATAGTGTAGTAATGTATATGTGATTTTGTTTATACTTCTTTGTTTTGTATATATATATATATATATATATATATATGTATATATATGTATATATATATATATATATATATATATATATATATATATATTAATTTATTTAGTTACATTTATAAATCCGTGTTCGACTTTGCCAGATATATTTAATTGTTTGTGGTATATTTTAATTATTGCAATTATCACTGTTATAATAACAATAAATAAATATTATTATTATAATTTATCACAAAAATAATTATTATTAATAATATTAGTATCAAATATGTTTATAATGTTTATTGATATACAGACGGCACAGACACAAAAACACACAAGCAAACAAACACAAACAAACACATACAAACAAACACACACAAACAAACAAACACATCTATTGAATGGTACCTACACATCAGCGTAACATGTCAGGACGCCCGCCATCAGATTAAAAGCACCAACGTATATTTTTCTGTGTTCTCCTTCCCAATAAGAATTGAAAACATTTTCATTTATTAATGTGCGCTGGCTCATTCAATAATGTCCTATTTTTGAAACAATGATCAACTAATATCTTTGGATCATATTTCAAACACTACCTCATTAACGACGATTTCTTAACGATGTTCTATTCAAAAATATTAACTTCTTTTGAACTTTTGAACTATTTTTTTACTGAGTGTAGTTTTTAGGTGAAATTTTTTTGACAAAAAGAGTCATTTTAATTTTTTTTTAGCTTTCAGTCAAAATGCTTCCATAGCAGCCTTTCAAGCTATCAACTGCCATGTGTGCATGTGTACGTGCACATGTATGTGTACGCGAACGTGTATGTGAATGTTTATGCGTGTCTGTGAACTATTTTAATCGAAAATACGGCCCTTGAATAGGATGACATTAATTATGTTGAAAACGACAAAATTATTAACGTAAATATTTTAACTAATTTTGCGTTCGTGTTTCGAAGAAAATAATGGCGATATAAAATCATGACAAGTCATCACGCACAATTTTGATATGGTGATGATGAATGAGATTACAATAGACTTCCATTTATTTTGCTGTGTTATCACCGTAACACACTTCTTTCAGTCATACTGACTAAATTACACGTCCACAATAATAACTCTCTAAACATGTCAACATGTTAGCCAATATGTGAATACAATACAAATAAATGTCTAAACGAACCATTCTCGAATTCTTTTTAAAAGCACCCACACACATTCATACACACATGGACACACACAAACGTACACACATACACACATATGCATACAACACACACACATGCACTCACATCGCTTAAAAGATGAATGTTTCAATTCAATTGTGCTCGATACATACGTGCAAATTAGTTGAATGTTGATTAGATGCTGATGTTCCACTTCAGAAGAGAGTGCATTAAGGATCCATTTTCATTACGTGAAATTATTTTATCGCACCAGTCACTGCAAACACCATCAACTGTTTTAACAAGCTAACAAACAAATAAACAAACAACCAAACAAACAAACAACAAGCAGGTTAACGATCAAACATTTAAATTCAAAATTTTCAATGAAGGCTGAAGCATCACACGCACTTTTGGAAGAGGAACATATATAATTAAAATGTAAACGATAAAAAACACTTATTATTATCGAAAGAAATTATTATTTGTGTTTTAAAATATCCAAGATAGATTATTACATGACACAATTTCCTCTGGCAGTGTGTTAAAAAGTTTCTAAATATTCATTGAAGGACTGCTAAAACTAAAGTTAGCTTTAACGTTGGTTAAATAAAATTATTGAAGGTCTCTTAAAAGTCAATCTGTAGAGTACACATGATGTTGGATGATTTTGTAGGAGCTTGGAATACTGCAGTTGATTATTAAAAAAGAATAGGCTACTGTAAGCCGACGATATTGCAAAAATCGCGTCACTGCTTTGATTTTGTTAGACTGAAAAAAATGACCGGTCATTTATCGAGTTTTGTTAACCTCAGCAGGATTTTGAGTTTTTTTTTCAAGAAATTGCATCTGAGAGGAGGGCTGTTGACAACAAAATCAGTCAAAAATCGATATTTTCTGAGTTGCCACAAAATTAAATGGTTGATTTTTTAAATTACTAACGATGACAACAAATTAATAAAATTGAAAATAACAAAATTAACAGAGCAGCGCATCAAGAAAGGATATTAATTCTACCCCGATTATCACGATTATTAGATCAGACGTAGCATGTGACCATGATTCAAAAACAACACTTAGTTTTACATAAACACATACACAAACACACACAACAAACATTCACACATAAGCACTTCACTTGCAATCCAAACACACACACACACACACACACACACAATCTCGCAAATAAATATGTGTATATATAAAAACGAACCAGCTTCAATCAGCCTCAATACAAACAAAACTACGATCAAACGCTGATTAAAACGTAAAATGTCAACTGAATAACAAATAATTGCAGTCTATTGATATTATTATTTTTCATGTTTGTTTATTTATAGCGGTTGCTCTTCTTTTTATTCTTATTGTTTTATTGCCGTTTTTTTTATTGATATTTATTATTTTCGTTATTAATGTTGTTGTAGCTATGATAAGTCTTTATCTACTTCTGCTTGTCAACTTTTTGTTACTTGGTTGTTGCTAATTAAGTTGTTGTTATTTTCGGCTTTGATGATCTATATGACATGAGATTTACAGTCTTTGAGGTGATGACGATAAAGCCGATGAAGATGAAGGCACTTGAACAAACATCACTTACACAAACGCTATGAACATCCCCATCACATGTAAAACACTTGAAATAATGAACAAATTAAACCAATAAACACAAAATTTTACAAATAAATAACATTTGAAATAATGAACAAATTAAACCAATAAACACAAAATTTTACAAATAAATAACAAAAATTAAAGAAATGTTTTTTCTGATAGGTTTTTTTACAATTCTTTCCTTCATTTTTTTCAAAAGTGAATTGAAACGTTACACGCACCGCACGTGTATATGCGTGAATATGTAAATGAATGTATGCGTGACACGCATTTGAATGTGATACACCGGGATGGATCTGTATTTGAACACGGTCACAGCGGGCAGGCGCTTCCACCATCTTCATCATCACGCCACTGCGTTGCATTATTATGAGGCAACTTCTTCTGCAACACAGGTGAGAAGCCGTACGTCTGTGGTCAGTGTGGTAAGGCCTTCAGTCAGTCATCCAACCTCATCACACACAGCAGAAAGCACTCTGGTTTGACTTTATTATTGCTGTTAATTATTATTATTATTATTACAATGACGCAGTGCGTGTAAAGTAAATACACGTGAAAGAACGCATCACACAAACTGCATGTAGTAGGTAGGCGGGGTTCTCTTTACAATCGAACCTGGTCACTGCAACAGTTGTGCCATGCACTTCACCGCTACACCACCGCGCAGGTCAAGCGCTAAAACGATTTTTGTTTAAGTTAGTGATCAATAATGATGCTTGTCTTGTTCCTTGTTTTTCTACACTGGTCGTAAACTTATTTCTATGGTTCTACCGTTACTACTGAGTTGTGGGTGACCAATTACGCAAATGAATGAATGAATGAACGAATGAATTAATTAATTTATAAATGGATGAACAAACGAACGAACGAACAAACAAATGAATTGATGGATGAATTAAAGAATGAATGAATGTTACCCGTCAGGTTTCAAACCATTTACCTGCCTCCAGTGCTCCAAATCGTTCCAACGTAAAGTGGACCTGCGAAGACACGTCGAAACCATGCACAACCATCCAACTGATAATTAAACAAACTAATTAATTAATTAATCAATTAATTAATTCACTCATTAACAACTATTCATTTGATCAGTTAATTGAGGTTTTTTTTCACTTTTATTTATTTCAATCTATAAACTGCATTTAATAAATTTATTATTTATTGATCATTTTATTTCATAACTTATTAAAATGATTAAATATTAGTCGTGAAATTAAATATAAAAAGGTACAGACCTAAGTACATAGTAATTTATTGATATTGTCAGTATTTTGATCTTTCAATTTCAATTCCCCAGTATTTTGTGACAGTATTTGAGCAATGTTACAGTATTTAAACTTAACTAACAGTATTTAAAACAGCCGTTTTTAAAGAAACAATATTTGAAGTAACAAAACATTGATTCAACAGTATTCAACTTTTCGTCACCTAAGCACCTCTGCAAACGTTGTTTGCATGTTATCATGTTGCCATGCCATACCAGTTGGATTTGCAATATTTTTAAATATTTTTAAATTTTATAACTTTTGGCTCGTGAAAAATTAACTTAAAATTTATAACTTTTTAGTAAATAGGATATATGCATCCCAAGTTTTCAACTGATTTCCATCGCGAGTTTATTATCGCATTGTAAATGATGATGGAATCTTATAATTTACAATTTTAATCATTTCTACAATATTTTGTTATAAAGCGTTCAATTGTTTCAAATGTTTCGATGCATTTTTTCAACTCGCTACAACGCACGAACAGTTTTCACATTTCATTTTTTTAAATCTTGACGATGTTTTTTATCAGTCTTTGGAAATAACATTTAAAATTTTTGTGAGTTTTATTTTTTAGAAAATAGAAGTTGCTCCAACGACACCACGACATCACGACACCATTTCACTCTAGCAAGATCACCCAGCAACAGTCGATGGCTGCAGAGCAGATACAGTATGCTGGACAGACAGAGAAACTAAGCAGATACTTTCTTCCCGCACTGTACAATACGCCGGTGGTTTCATAGTTAATCGCGTCGTTTATTGTAGAGTGGATATAAAATCATGGATATGATGATTTCAGTTCAGTAACAATGATGATGACGGTGATGATGGTGATGACAACAGCATGATAGAATTTCAATTGAATAAATTCTATAGGACTACCGTGGTGTAATGTTAAGTTTGAAATGATTACGTCAATGTTGTACAACTTGTGGCGTGGAATGGTGTGCTAACGATGAAAAAACAAGTAAGAGATGGCAGCTATTAACATCACCCTAGCGTTTGTGGCGACGATAAAGTTGCCACTACTTCCATCACGAGTTGCAGTTTCATTGACACCCTTACTAAATGTATGTTGCCTGTAGGTCTATATACATACATAGACATACATTATATACATAGATATACATTTGTGACTATTATCTTTTGATCGTCCTTTGATTGATGTTTTATTTGAAAGACAAAACTGTCCTGATAGTTCTATTGCTCTAATTACTTGTTGACTGTTTGCTGGTTGCATTGATGTTTCTGATCTGACGTTATTGCAAATTATAACTTTTGATGATGACGACGATGACGACGTTGGCAATAATTCATCCAACCACTCAAACAGACGCGCACGCATAATTATAATTCACCAGTTCGACAACGTACGTTATTTGATGTGTGTGCAGCTACTTACAGCTTTTATCTTTATGTACAGTACTTCGAGACGAAGATGATGGCGACCAAATTAACTCAGTCCGCATCGTCAACAAGCAAACTGAGAGGGGGGATTTCTAAGTGTTTAAATGTTTAATTGTTGATCGAAAGAACCGATATATTATCACGGGGGTGCCAACATTTGTGGTAATGTAGTCGAAATCTGACTGACGACCTTCTTTTTCATTTTTTGGCCTTATAATGTCTTTTTTTTCTTCAAAACAATACTGTTTCGTTGAAATAATGACTTTAACAAATACGATTCACAACGAGGGATGCACTGGCCTCCCCCGGCCAGCTAGATCCGCCACTGTCTGAATTGAATCATTATCGATGACGCGATAGATAAAACGGATGAGGTCATTTAGATTATTAACTGATCCATTACCATCACTTAAACAAAATTCGACTAATACCACTTAAAAATACAATTTTTTAATGGAAAAATCCAGAGCGGCGTTATTTATAAATTAAGCAGTAGGTACGTTTATGAAAACATGAACAGACAAAATAAATTTTCAATTGCATACCAAAATACTTAGCGCCTTGCAAATGCAAAAACAGATGACGTCTCGTTGACATAATAAGCAAATTTATTTATTGAACACCAAAACAACTATTTTGTGGCTAGCATTAAATATCTTCGGCTGCTTTAAGCCAACATCAAATTTTTTCTCTCAACACAAAAGTTATAGTTAAGGCTAAAACATCACCAACCTCTGTAACATCGCGCCTCTTAACATGTACGTGGTTTTGTGTTGCATTTTTTCATCAAATTTATTGTTGGAAAATTATTGGGAGCGTACTTTCAAAAATATTATAAGGCCATTTTTTAATAGAGTGCATTCGCAACTTGACAGAAATTTGTTGCTGGTTGATCAGCTGTTTCGCAATCGAAAGTCCTTGTCCCCGTTGAACGATGGGCGAAATGACAGGACAGAACGTGAAACAATGTGGCGATAGCAGTGACGTTCTCGAAGCCAACCTCGAAAACCTGAATGATGTCTTGCACGAAACTTTCCACAAGTTCTCAAACAGAAGGAACGTGATTTCACTCACCGAACTGAAGCACTGGTGTACCGATGCTGCTGTGATCGGCAAGCACATGAACCAAACGCACATTGACGTGTCTTTCTATAAAATCAAAAAAAAAGGAACCAAGTAAGAATTTGTTCTTCAGTCTTCTATTTATGACGGCAGATAAATATAATTTAATGTAACGCCAACTTCTCTCCGTTTGCATTTTGAACTACATAATTGACTCAATAATAAAGTCTTATAATAAAGACAAATAAAACACTATTGATAAATATAAATAACTTGCTTTGAATTTATATATTGAAGCGTAGTAACTTTCAAAGATTTCCTACTTCTGCTTGACTTGCTGACTGTGAAATACGTGGATGACACATGGCTGGATAAGAAACATGCTCTAGCCCACCTCAAATTCAAACTCAGCGTGGCCGTGCCAGTCTTCAAAAACATACCAGTTAGTACAAAACAAAGTTTAATGGCACCATGAATGTCTTGCAAAGTTTAATAATTATATGGCGATCTATATAAAAATGCCAAAAGATGTCAACATGCAATAAGATGATTATTACCACAAACGACACTAACCACATAAAAACAATCACACAAAAAGCCACCAGACGTTACGATCGGCGCCGTCGACAGATTGACTGATGCCAAGCTCTTCACAGGAACATTCAAGCACGTCTTCAGCGACATGGGAGCCGAAAGAGGCAAAAAACGTCCTCAGCGTTACAACTTGCTCTGAAATGGATTCTGGCCAGCCAGCCAAATGAATTGCTTCAACTTCTACTTTAACATTCTCAAAATCAGTTCTTATTGTTTAAACCCACAGCTCCATTGACAATATTTATTTCAACTTATTGAGAACTTTATATATTGATGTCACCTCATGACAATATTCATGACTGTTCAACCAAACATAATACAACTTCTTTCATTGATCCTGAAATGTGAGAATTTTTATGAATTTTATTAATCTGTATACAGTACACAAACCGCAATTCTGTGTAGTTATTTGCGCAAAATTTGTGAATTCCATCAGCACTTAGAGCCAATGTATGAGCATAATTTACGCGCTTAAACAGAAGCGCAGAGGAAACTAATTATCGCCATCTTCACTTCAATACGGTTGTCCTACTTAAATTTCATCAATTAAATTTAAGACCTTGTGTTATCACGAGTCACGATACATTATTTACTTAGCAAACATTAAATGTATGTGATTACAAATGAAACAAGATTTTTACCAAACATAACTTACGTTATCAAGAATTCAATCTACATTAAATTAAAATAATTAACGGTTTCTTGAAAAAAAGTCGGCAAGGCCGCTTCTATAATTATCAATGACTTTTGTTGATCACAGTTGATTGTCTGTTCATCTGTATTATGGATGTTCTCTTTAGCGTATGTTCCAAAATCTGGCCCAAGAGATTTTCTGTTGCACATTCTATTATATGTTAAAGTTCTATTTCCATCATAAAACAATTTTGGTATGATGAGCTTAGTACAAAAAACGTGGCTTAAAATATTTGATGTATCACTTTCTGGAACCTTCAATAAGCTGCAAACCTCCTTTGGCAAAGCCTGAATCAAAGGAATTAAAATGTTAGTCTTGTAATTAATAGCTTCAAAGCCATAGTTAACAACAGTTTAGAGTATAACACTGGTTGTTTAAAAAATAAAAACAAAGTTGTCAGCTTAATTTAAAATTTTTATCATGTACTTAAGCATATTCTCAATATATGGAGAAGAAAAAAGCAGAAAAGAAGTTGAATAAAACAAAATGGCGTTAGACAAAATATTTGATTCATTAATAAAAACAATGATTAACAATTGAATTCGATCAACATCATTGTTAAATAATGCATGTTGTGCATACCTGCGGCTCAGGGTGTGCTTGCTCTGGTTTCACTAAAACTTGTTTGTCTAGCAAGTTTCTTATTCGGCTACTGTACTTGTGATCACCCAAAATGGCTGACATCTTATGAATGAAAAACATTTCCAAGGCATCCCATTTGGCTTGCAATCAAAAATCAACAAGGTGGCAGAATGTGTTAAAGTTAATTTTAATATTTTCTAGGCTTGGTAAATGATGTTTCAAAAATAATTCATATTTTAAAATATAAAAATAAAGTAGCAAAAAAGTTTCATAAAAATGAAAAGACTGTTGATAAAAACAAAAGCTAGTCAACAACAAAAAAATTAGCTTACTTGTTGTAGGCCAAACAGTCACATTGTTTAATGTGCAGTTGAATGCAACTTTGGAGGATTGTGTTACTTTGAATTTGACGGCAAGATTAGTGTAGTTGCCATGCATTTTCTGTTTGTTCTTTGATGGCTGCCTCACCAGGGTAGACTAGTAAATGATCATGTTTAAATTATCAAGGCTCTCAGTGATGGCCATAAACCATTGCACTGGAATGCATTTGATTCATTTGAGAATCACATTTAGACTAACTCACCATTACATTGTTATTGATCTGGTTTTGTTCAATGGTCATCTCATCCACTCCTTCCTGTTTTGTCATTTTGCCTACAGATATTACTCTGAAGAAATTTACATGCAAATTTTTATTACACGATCAAAACTGAATAAAACCGAAAACAATTAACTTGTATTCAGAAATGTGTAGCTTGTTTATTTTTGCATTTTTGAAATATCTTGATAATAAATTTTGAACATCTTTTTGAAAACAAAACAACACAATTCCTCCAAACTCCCTTTGAAAAAACAATTAATAGTTGTCATGAAATTAATTCAGTCAAAAAATTAAACTAGTCACCTCTTTTGCGTGAAAACTTCAAACAAATCTGGTACATTCAAGTACCTCTTTAAATCATTTTTTAATGTAGACATCGAAAAGAAATTTTCTGCTCTTATATCAATCTTTTTATCTGAATTTTCTTCATATTTGATGCCTAGGAACAAAATTATGGACGGATTTGTCATGTGTATTTAGTTGAATTCAAACCGCATGTAAAGTTGACATACTTTGCATTGGAAAACCATTTGGTTTGGCTATGGCAATGCAATGTTCTGTTAATATTTTAAAAAATTAATTTAATAATAATCTGCTATGCTAACCTATAAATTTGAAGAGAAAAAAATTTAGATTATCACATTTTCACATAAAAAAACATAGGTAAAAAAAACTTGTAACACCCTAGCCTAGTCATCCTCTGTTTTTGTAGTGCTTCAAAAAAATTACATTAGAATTAAAATTAATTAAAATTTTAAGATGCTTTAAATTTATTTTTAAAGCATTTATGCCACAAGGCAAGTACTTGAATCCTAAAAATCCTAGACATGAAGAATGTTTTCTCAATGACTCAATAGCTAAAAATCTTATAACAAGAAAGATGTTTTTAAATTGCAACTCAAGTCAAAATAAAACTAAATGTCCAAAATCCATTCTAGAAAAAAACTAATTTTATCTGAAATCAGAAATATTTAAAAATATTTGAATCAAAACCGACCATTTTTGAATAAAACATTCCTTAACAAGCACTCTAACAAGTAACTTTTGTCATTTAAGTTTTCACCACTCCTACTACTACTTGCGGGTTGTGGTGCAGGGCTGAAGTGAACATGCCGTCGAATTCCATCATTGCTGGCATTGTTGGTGGCACTGGAAGTAATGGTAATCATACACCTGGCGGACAAAGTGGAATAACAAGCCCTGTGATGTGCTGTGGGCAAACAGATTAATTTTTTTAATGAAACCATTGTAGGCTGTTAAACCGAAATTGAAATCTTCGCAGTTAAACATTCACATTCGATCACTTAATTTATAATTACTATTACTATAAAACAGACATAACAACAGAGACGATATTACAAAATCTCTTTAAAAGCAAGCTTTAAGCAGGCGTTTTTTTAAACAAAGACATTTTGATGTATTACAAAATCTTTGGCTTTAGAGAATTAGTGAAATATTAATCTACATACTTAGAATCTTATAATGAATCATATACTTAAAAAGCCTTAATTCACTTATATATATAGCTTGTAACTTTTGTCATTTAAGTTTTTACTACTCCTACTACTACTACTTGCGGGGACGTCTACAGAAGTGAGAAGAGACAGTTACTTCCACATTAAGAGGAAAGGAGGGGTATTTTAATATAAAAAAAACTGTTTGAAATTCTTAATCAAAAAGAATTTTTGCCCGCAACATATAAGAAGAGGATTGACGTCTCCTGCAATAATTAGTCATCAAATACCCTCATATCCCATCAAACACCATTTTATTTTTTGTATATAATCAAATTCATGTATAGATGTTATCATATACTTTGTTAATCTAATTTATGTTACTTGCTATCTAAATGTTTCAATAGTTTTATTCATTGAATATTGTATATTCTTTGTATATGTTGATCAATTGGTTTATTAGAGATGTAGTTATTGGATTTTTGGTTAACCGAAATTGACTCATTTCCTTTAAAATAATTCACTTTTAATCAGCCTTGTTTTTTGTTTTGGATGATCTGTCGTCTTTGTTCATTTAATTTAAACTTTCGTATCGGCTAGGGACGTTGTCCCCAGTCAAAATGGAGTTGAAAGCTCAAATTTTGTCGCCTGCTATTACGTTATGTGTTAGTTATTTATGATTTTATAAATTTTTTCACAATTTTTTTATTTTTCATATATTTAATTTTAATAATTTAAAATTTAACAAAACAATTATTATTTTATTTTATTGTGCTTATCTTGGAAAATTTTGATTATATTTTAATTTTATTTTTAAAAAAATTTAATTATTAAATGTAACAAATTAAATTTTATAAGTATAAGTAAGGTCAGATAGTACATATTTGTGATGCATTTTAGTTTTTTTTACTATTCCAAAAAACTAAAAAAGGTTCAGCTAAAGTTGGACCTGGCCTTAAGTTCTGTTTTTTTTATCTCAATAGAATCTTAATCAAAAAATCAAAATTAAGCCTCAATTTTATTTATCTGCTACTGTTCATGTCATCATATTATTGTATTGTTAATTAAGTGATAAAGGTTTAAACCATTTAATAAATGAGTAACTGTAATGCAATTGTAATGTATAATTTATTCCTGTAGATGGCAGTAGTTACATGGTGTCAGACAATTGATTTTGATCACTGTTTGAGTGCTGGCTTCACAAAAGATCTCACTTGCAGATCTTGCAAAGACCTGCCTAGATACAGATTAGATTTCCTCGTTGAAGATTGTAATAGTTGTTGTGCAGCCGAAGATGAGTTACCTCAAAAACCGGTAAATAATTTGGTAACAGAAATATCTTTGAAGCAAATGCACATATGATTTATATTTAATAGATTTCCTATCTAATCTATTCACTGGAAATAATAAACTTACTTAAAATATTAGTTGAATTTTTTCAATTTAGAAATTACATGGAATAAAATTAATAATCTATTCTAAAACTTTTTAAAGTGGATTTTAACAGCTTTTTATATTCTTACTGTTTAATAATTATTTTCAGAACAATGTTATTATTTTATATTTTTGTAGTCCTACCCATTTGCTGAACTTAGTGTATGTCAATGAAAATTGGGTCGGTATCCGCAAGTTGAAGGTTAGCATTGATCCAGCATTATAAATCTCAATTTAATAATTATTGATACAATACAAATCCTAATTAAGTTGTTAATATATCCAACTTCACTACTAAATAACATCACCAGCCTTCATCAAAAGTGACAAGCCCAAACAGTTCCCCGGCCTCGAGATAAGGTACGTGAGGGGGGCTGACCCTACAGTTAAACTCATGAATGAGAACCGAGAAACTGTTGAGGTGTTAGGCGTCGACAAGTGGAATACCGACTCTATAGAAGAATTCTTTAAGGAACGATTATCATCTTAATGCAGTCTATTTGTATTATTTATGATGCATCAAACTGAAGTTTATATCATTCAAATAGACAATGTGTTAGCTATCTTCCTTTGCATGTTCGTGCTGCTAGGTGATTGTTGTTGTTTTGTCTGGATTTACCACCAAGTACCGTTTTTGTTGCACGTTCAAATAGAGATTTGTTCTTTGGCACTAACAATTGAAATAATATATTTATGACTAATCAGAGTGAAACATTACAAGCTCTAATTATGATGCTTCCTTATTATTTCAATGTTAGTCGATCCTACTTCCAGAAGAAATTTATTTTTTGATTTAATCGATTTTATAATTTTTAGTCAAATATATTATAGAAATAATTTCGTTTTTTGTATAAAAATAGCGTGAAATCCACATTACACAATTTATTACAATATTATCGTTAGATACAAACACAAATTACTCAATTAAGTATCGAATAGGTAAAGCTAGCTAAAAGGAAAATATGGTATAGAAAAATATTCAGTATACATTTTCTGTAAAATATGTAAAAATTTATGTGCAAATAAGAATATTTGAAGGATCACACCATGAAGTGCAAGGCATTTTGTATTGTATTATAATGTAATGTAATTTATAATGAATCATAGGAAGTTATAATGCTTAAAAACGTTATATCTATCTTCAAAGAATCAAACGTAATGCCAACCAGAATGCACAGAGACCGACTGAACGATAAAGATGTTGCTTTGTTTAATGTATTGGTTAGACAAATAAGAATTTCGAATTATAACGGTGACTGATGTTAATAAATGAAAGCACAGCACAATCACAAAACCTGAAGCATCCACAACCAGTGTTAATTAGCATTAATTAATTAATTAATTAATTGATAGGATGATGTGATGGAGGAATTGATGCAAACAAATGAACGATAGCAGATGTGACGAGGTCAATTGTAAGTTATTGTACGTTCAATTGTGGGGTATCTGTGTATGTTCATTTAGAGAAATTATTACAACTTCACGGATTATTTAACAGAAAGTTCTAACTAATTGAAGAAACAGATCATGTTAAAAGTAAGAAATCTAATAAATATGAAATCAACGTTAAAGTTAGCGACATTCAAATAAATAAATTGAAACGCCACTTAACTCAAGCAAATAAGTAACGTTAAGCTCTACTAACACGTGAAATTAAATATATTGAAAAGTATAATACACTATGGCTACATCACAAAAACAAAAAACACAATGCACAATAATATACCATGATGACGATAACTGCTCAAAAAAGTGTTTTATGTAATTTCTCTGGTACAAGTATGATTATATATCAATGTATACACACACCACACACACATACACACACACACACACACACACACACACACATATATATATATATATATATATATATATATATATATATATATATATATATATATAATTATACATATTCATCAGTTTTTTATAGTTAATGAAAGGAATGAAAATGTTCCATTAAGTTAAACAGTATATGCTCAATTAAATAAATTTAATTCAAGTAAAATGTAAAACAAACTTTTACACCATTGTCCAATAATAGCCACCAATTAAAAATAAGTCATAAAAATAACTAAAAAAACTCTTTCAACAAGTTATAAGATTAAGAAAATAATACTAATTAAGAAAACAACAAAATCAAATATACATATATTTGTATATTGTAAATAAATAATATTTATAAATTTTAAAATTGAACAAAATTGCAAGACAAATGCAACCATGCATCAATGGAACTGTTGAGTTTCGTGTTGTAAATGTCTAAATATAATGAGGTATTATTTGGCCAGTTAGCAGTCGAAAAATCGATGTAGGCATTGTTTTCATGTGAATCTGTAAAAATGGTTAAGATATTCAATAAATTAACAATTCGGAAAATACAAAAAGGCATACAGGTGCATGCACTGGCGCCGACATGGAGGGGCGAGGCATTTCTGCCTCCTTACTACAATTTTTCTTACAGCTGTCTGTCAGTCTAGTTTCTAACGAATAAAAAAACACTTGCAAATATGAGTGAAGTTATATTTTAGCTAAGAAGGCAATTTTCAAATTCCTTAATAGTTCACAAGAAAAAAGTTACAGCCCTAGATAAGCTTTAAGACAATTTTTCTTTTGCCCCTCCCGGCCTAAAACGCTATAAAATTCTGCGCCGTTGGACACGAATGAAGAATGAATCATAACGGCATGCAAATAATTTAATTAATTATTAAAAATGTTATTCCTATACTTGACAACAGAAGCAACAACATCAAGTTAGACAGTGCAAAGGGATCAATCATTGCCACGTATAATTAGCTTAAGTAATATAAAACCGTATTGTTTGATTAATAAACATTTGCTGCAATTAAATAGTTTGAATAGACATTGAAACGGTTATTGATATATTTCAAATAGGTGTTAATTGACATGACTAAATGATGCTATTCTAATTTTCTAATCATCTAAAATACTGACCTCTCCGGCCGACCGGGCTAACGTGTTTACAATTTTTTCATGGGGCACTGCCACAACACTCTGTCCATTGATTTCAATAATTCGGTGACCCACCCTCACCCCACCTCTCTCCGCTATGCCTCCTCTCAGAAGACTACAAATCTTTATGCGAAATTCAACAGGTAAATGTCATAGCAGAATGTGCAAATAAACATTTAATCTGATAACGGCAAAACTAACGACTCCATCTTGAACACTGAAGCCCAGCTGATACTTGATATCCGGTCTTTTGATGAGAACTTCAACAACAGGTGGACACGACACGACAGCCAACTTTACGGTGGAACGATGCTTAGCTGCCTGTTACGAACGATAGCATGCAAAGTTCAACGTTCACGAAAACCAGATCTTACCAAGAGAAAATTGTAAAATAAAGTAATATAAATAATCATTTAACTGGATCAACAACAGATCACGTCAGGCGTACCTTGATGTAACTCTGGCAGGTGGAGAGAGGCAGACCAACAAGTGAAATGCCATTGATGGATATGATCTGGTCTCCAATGTTTAAAGAATTGCACCTAGCAGCAGGCCCAGTAGGTAACATGTTGGCCAGCACCACAGTCGGCACCATGCTCCCCCACCCTGATTCAACTATGACCACACCCAGAGGCTCTCCCTTAGACTTGGTAAGTATAACCTGATTTCATAAATTCCGTATTAGATCATCGGATATTTTATATTTAAAATTTAATAATCAAAAGAAAATACCAATATGATTGTAGGCAAGCTTGAACTGCAAAAATGTTTTGACAATTTGACCGGCACTCGCATCTTAAAACAATTTCAGGTGCACAACAGTAAAAGCAGAATTTCTGGTCAACCTCTCTTTGCATATCCTTGTTAGAGAACATGTACAACTCCTCTCCATAGACTTCCTGCTGATTCAACACATCCTGGTAATCAACATTCTTCATCATGTTCGTTCCCTCGTCGATTCCATTTGCTTTCAAAAATTCAACATACGATACCTGGAATGCCTGTCCTATTGACTGAGCTATCAGTTGCGCCTGGTTCAGAATTTTATTAAATTTATTGATTTTCATGAATAACATCAGTTCATCAGTTTGGAACAAATTAGTAGTTTCTCTGTAAAAATTTTTCCACTTAATGCCTTTTAACTCATACTTTACAGTCGTGTGAGAAGAAATGTTGTCAAAAAGTGGGCGAGCAAATTACAGCTAAATTAACAACGCAAACTGCTAAAATGCAATTGCTGATTGCAAAACACAATTACTTATATATTACTCAATTAATTGCAAAACAAATGACTTAGAGTACAAATGTTTTTGTTCATACGAGCACTCTAACAAACATAAAACGAAACCAACAGCCAAAGCCAGAACATAGCGGCAACATAACAAATGTTCATATTGAAGACAGACAGGCCAACCAACCTCATCAGATTCAAACACGTGACAGCATATTTTCGTCTGCGTCTTCTTTTGACCTGTTGGACCGACGTTTCGAATTGTGGAGCCCCTACGAGCCATGATGACCAACAAATCGCCAATGTCCGCTATGTACGAGATCGTGCGCAGTGCATGGTCCATCATTATTTCCTGCATCGCATTTTATTAATGTTACTTCAGCTTATTTATTTATTTGGTCTTAAAAAGTGAATTCCTTCAACTGTTTTCATGAATATGAAATGGAATGAAGCAGTTCAAATAATAAAAAAATAATAATAAAAGATTTTTGTGGGAAAATATTAATTTATTAAAAGGAAAAAAGATAAAAACAGAGAAACAAGACAGACCTGTTGAAACCACGGAATATACATGTTCATCGTGCACATCACATGCAAAAAAGATGACCGACAGAAAAAGCAGCAGAGCAAAGATACGATAACAAATTGCAGGAGTGGATAATGTACGTTCAACAAAAAAACGCGGGGAACCAAAAAAAGAGAGATAGCAGGAGCAGCAGCCAAATAAAGAATGAATAATGGAGGAGCAGATAAGTTGAAATCAATGGACATAAAAATGGGTTTTTTACGCCATAAAACAAGTAAGAAGGCTAATAGAATGAAAAAAGCATTAAACATTAAACTATCAACTGTTCAAATGAAAAAATAAAACAAAAAAGTCAAAAACTGGAAACATGAGAGATAATGATGATAAAAATAATGCTTCTAAAAATATTGGTGAAGAACATAAATGGCTGAAATGATAATGAAGAATGAGTAGCAAGCAAAGACCTACTTGAAGATTCGTGTTGAGTACCATGATCTTCTCAATGGAGACAAACAGGTCAACCTCAGTGGCAGGTTGTGATTCGCCGAGAGGTGCCTGTCCAAAAACATTCATCAAACAAAAAATTATTGATGATTTTGTTCTTTCTTAATTTGCGCTCAATCGCATTACCTCAGCATATCATTTATGATTTACCAAAGTACCTACCTATCATTCCATATCAACACCCACTGAACTACCATTACAATTATTATTAAACTAATGATAGAGACCATTGGAACATAACAGTTATGACACTGAGAAACACAAATGTTATGAAAAAAATAAATTAAAATGATGATAACTCTACGAACAAAAATAAGAAACTACTGATACTGGTAGAGTTGCATGTGCACACACACAAACAAAACACACACGAACACCTGCCACATTTACACTTACAAACAGATTTATAAAAACACTGAAAGTGCTTTAATTTAACTAATTTAACATTTAATTTTGAAAAATATGCTCCTCTCTCTCTCTCTCTCTCTATATATATATATATATATATATATATGTGTGTGTGTGTATTGGATTAAGACAGCATGTGTCCCGCGATAGTTAACTTCCTGTTTAATTTTTCGATTTTTCTAACGGTAGATCGTAAATCATTGTCAAGTTTCTTGAGTTGCAAATCAAAATTTTTATTTATTTTAAACATGATATTAAAATCGGAACATGCTGTGATTTTCATCAACAATTATATATAATAATATATATAAACACGAAACAGAAAATGTGTGTGTAGTAGTGTTGCATAATGCATGATGTGAACTGGCCAGTGGAGAAGCCGAAAGACTCATAAATTCATTAGAACGTTCATTAAACAGTGCTGCATTGTGTTGCCGGCAGTGGCGAAAGAATGATCATCGTCCTATGAAATGTTTCAACATTAACGCTCCTAAATCATGAGAGCAAGGATTAACGAGGAGAACATGGAAAGACATCAAGTTTGGAATATAGAAGAGAATAAAAAATTAAACAAAAGAACGAAAGAAATATCAAAACATGGTAAAATTATTACGCAATGAACAGAGAAGGATGAAAACTTAATGAAATGAGAACTTAATGTCTCTTAATGTAACATGTACTAATGTAACATCACGCTCGAATTTTTATGTGAGCTCATTAAATATAAATAATGTTTAACGTAAAAAATATTCAACCTAAAACTAAAAAAGACAAAGACAATCAAACACATGCACATACACACACACACACCACACACACACATACACTCATACACAGACACATAAATAAACACACCACACACACACACCACACACACACACACACACACACACACAAATACATACACACACTTTTACATTACCTTGTGTTTCTATTATGTAGCCAAATGCAATGCGAAGAAAAATTATTTTGAAAAAATTAATGTGTGACCAATGACCTTTATAAAAACATTATCACCATTATAATGGTCATATCCATTGCCATTACACACAAAACGCACGCACCCGCTGCATTGACCGTCTCTTTCTCTCTCTCTCCCTCTTTCTCTCTCTCACTCACTCACACAGACACACACACACACACACACAAATACAAATTAATTCAGCTTGTTACAATGAATGATGGTGATTGGCATATTATTGAATGCCATATTTTAAGACTTGCTCTCCAGTAACTTTCGAAGAGGAATGCGTTATAAATATCAAGAAACACGGAGGAGTTATATAATTATACAGACGTGTATAAACATATAATTGTATATATATATATATTTATATATATATATATATTAGGTTTAGACTATCATAAATACAATTAATACCTTGTGTTTCTATTATGTAGCCAAATGCAATGCGAAGAAAAATTCTCAACTCAACTACAAGTTGAATAATGCCGAAAACGCAGTGATCTTTATAAATAATTGTATATATATATATATGTGTGTGTGTGTGTGTGTGTGTGTGTCTGTGCGTGTATGAGTGTGTCTGCATGAATGTGCACCTCTGCAGCATGGTACTATTCGTCTACGTATTTGTCACATCAAAGTATTATTAATAATATATAAAGTTCTATTTGAAAAAAAAATTAGACGGACACAGCATTAACGCCAGAGGATAATCCAATCCCATGATATGTTGTTGTTGCAACCTATGATATTGTTGTTGTTGTTGCAACCTATCATGTTGTTGTGGTTGTTGCAACCTATGTATGGAGATGATATAGTACGCTCTACAAGCCATTGCACCGAAACTAAAAATTGGATTCCTAAAGAATGTAAAATAAATGAAAACATTGAATAGGGTCAGTCCTGAGTGACCTGACTCACCTTGATCCTGCCGACAGCCTCTTGTGCCTGCATCATCCTCATGGCCTTCGAGGGTTGACCTTCAGAGATCAGTTGCGTGGAGCCGAGGTAGTTGGCCCTGAAGAGGACCCCTTCAATCAGGACTGATTCGTTGCACGGGTCACGTAGTGTAACTGCAATCGTAACAAATCTTCGTTTAATTCATTGGAGACATTTCCATTGCATTGTACGAATTATTATTATATTATTTATTATGTGCACGATGTTTCTAAACTTCTAAGTGCCCAAATGTTAAAACCTAATGTATATAATTCACAATTACGTTACAACAACAGCAACAAAACAACGACGACGATGATGATGAGATGGACCTAGCATGATGTAGCGTGGAGAAGAGCGCAAGACGAACAATTGAAGTTTTAATACAAAACAATAAACATGTTTTATTGCAAGGAAGGAGGAATGAAGAATTTTAATAAGAGGAGAGACGAAATCTTGAGAATTTTCAATTAATCTTCGGTCATAATGGTCAATAAAGAAATGTTTGCCAAGAGCCAACATCAACATATGTGATGATGCAGATGATGCAGATGGGAAGTTTTGAAGAAAAGTAATTAACACTAATTGAAAAGAAACAATTACAGATGACGACGACAAAGGCGATGATAACTAATAATAGTGATCACAATGACGACGATGTTGATAATGATGATGATAAACTGCAGTCAACAAAGCCTACACTCATGAAGTTTGTTTACAAAATCAACATAATGAAAATTTGCATGAGCAATTATGATGATGATACGACCTCAACGATGACGATGATGATGACGACGACGACGACTATAACGACTACGTTGGTAATGATGATATGATGTTGAAAGTCAGTGACAGTAAAAATGATGGCGTTACAATAAAAATAGCCATAATAAAATAGCAACAACAACAACAACAATAACAACAATAACAACAACAACAACAACAATAACAACAACAACAACAATAACAACAACAATATTAACAATAGCAAGAACAACGATGACGATGACTTTAATGAAAATTGTTCTAAGAAACTGTTTTTTTTTAGAACTTAAAATACTTTCCAGCAATTGCAATGCAACAGCGTAATTATAAGTGCAGCGCTTACAATGCTTTACGTCAGACTAACATGAGAGACCTCATTATGTTGGGCTACCATCATCATCATCATCATCATCATTACTATTAATGGTTGCATCATCATCATCGTCGTCATCATCATTATTAGCGTCATGTCATCATCATTATTACGAAACAACAAACCAATAAAAATTTGCTTTCGAAAATTCAGAAGAAAAGTCACAAGATGTATATAAGTTTATACGTACATAATTGCTAATTATTATTGTCTACCAAAAAAATTTAAGTTGTCTATTGCTTGCCACTGTCTGTTTTGCACATGCAAAATAATAAAAAATAATCTCTAATGGAGAAAAAAAAACAGAAAAACAATCACATAATGAAAAATTGAATCAAATTATTCAAGCCAAAATATAAATTAATGCTCACCAGTGAGGTTTACATTGTCCAAGTAAGCATGGGAAGGTTAATTTGAATTAAAATAAATCAATATAAACGATGTTGTGAGTTTTACAATCTGCATGAATCACTTGAATGAATGAGAAATATAAAATATGAAAACGAGGAATGAAAAACCCACTCCATCCATCCATCCATCCATCCATCCCTCCATCCATCCACCCAACCAACCATCCATCCATCCACCCACCTACCCAAAATCCAACAACAGCCACGATACCGACCGACGACTGATAGCACAAAACAACGACAATAGTTATGAAAAAAAAAAATATATACCAACAAAGCACGCTATCATCCCATCCCATAACATTAACGGAATCATCTTTCTTACAATTTGATCGTCAGCCAGCACAGCAACTAACAATTACATCCATCTACAACAACAACAACAGCATGTAGTATAAGAAAATTCAGTTGTGGCATCAACAAAAAGAATAATCGACACAACGACAACAACATTTAACAAAATACAACGACAAAAACAACAACTAACCAACCAACAAACAAACAGCATCATGCTTCAATAACAACAACAACAAAAACAACATCCATCAACACAAGATGATAAACTTGAAATCTGAATGAATCCTTCAGAGGCTCAAGCCACCCTGTTTAGTGCTTACTCACCATAAAATGAAACTACATTTTGCATTGTGACGATGATGATGAAAAGTATTTTTTAAAACTTCGCAAATAAAAAACGCTTTCGTGGCATTCACTCATTCGTTCATTCATTCATTCATTCATTCATTCATTCATTCATTCATTCAAATATTTGTCTAAGCAAAACAGTCAAAATGGTTATGCATAGCCATATTATATTGTCTGTTGAATATACATACACATACACACACACATAAATACATACATATATACATACACACACACACCACACACACACACACTCATAGTGCACCACATAACATATTGTGTGTACACTGTACACACGTGTAATACACACACACACATATATCACACACATCGTACGTACGGCCAACAACCAACAGGTGATAGCACAAAAGAATATGAATAACTGGTGATTAATACCATAAATAAAATCGATTTTATGTGAAAAACAAATTTCAAAAATTATAAAAAAAAATCTCATTTCTGAATGGCAGACACAAGAAGAATTAAACGTTGAAGTCGTACACCGCTCTGTGTATCATCTAGTTCGAGATTAGCCTGGGAAAATTAAAAGAGAACACTGCAAAAATTGACTGCAGCAACAAATAATCCATGGGATTAAGTTTTATTTCCTTTAAAAGCACTTGAACCTTTTAATAACCAAACTACATACAAAACATACTTCCTCTTTCTTTCTTTTTCCATTTAACTTCAATCTGTCCTCCTACCAACATCGGGACCGTCACACACAATGATATCTAACAACAAATTCGCATGCATTCCTCTGCCACTCAAGTTAACATTCAATGGGTGAGTGATAATCTTACAATGGAAAGATCAGGTATTAGCATCCAATTTCCCCAGCAAGTGATAGCAAAATAAAATACAACACAGTGATTACCGACTCATTCGTTCCTCAATCCAACCAGCTTCCAACAGAATTCAACCACCTCCATTTAAAACAGACTACTAACACTTCGTATTCAAGAGCATACTGCAAGCAACATTAAAGAAACCTTCAAAGAAGAAATGATGAACGCCTTTTCTGTGTGCCTCATAAAAGTCGCGCTGCACATGCAAGCGGCATCATAAATTATTTAAATATCTACCGAGCAGTGAAAGTTACAAAAAGTTGTTACGATCGTGACTTTTAAGAGTTCCATCGTAGCAAAGTACAAACTAATTACGATTTCAAGTAAACAAATATCAAGGATACTTAAAAATAACTGTCCCATACGACGGCTCAATAAACTTAAGTTATCTAATTACTTGAAAGAATCAAATCTTTTGAAGTACAGTTTCGTGGTCAATATCAAAATATTAATAAACCGGCAGTAGTAGCAGCTCAGCAGTGATAAGTGAAAAAATGAAACTTGATAATAACATGCAGGCTGGCAATAAACTGCAAGCGATGATATAAGCATTGTCATATTAAAAGAAATTAAAAAAAACCTTTTTACACAGCAACGGAGCAGCGGCATTGTGAAACAACATATAACACAAGTGATGCAACACAATCAACATGGATGCAGTAGCACAATAGCAACATACCAAACAGCAACAAACCCAACAATCAACACAACAACATCTAACACAGCACAACAACAACAACAAACCACCTTCCCTGGCACGGCTCCTCTTCTGGTCAACCTGCCAAGCAATACAAACAAAAACATGAATTAATGTGAGAGGAATCATTAAAATTACTCAAATCAACATGAGTTCAATGTACATAAACATATTAACAAATATTTATTTACATGTTCAAGAACATTAACACAATAAACAAATAATTTACATGAACGATAATACGTTCACTCACTTCTTCATTTTCATCATCATTGTCAACATACATCCATCCACATCATCTGAAAAACCTCAACAGCTTCATCATCACTGTCATAATCAATAACATTTACTCGTCACCACATCCTCCTCGTCCTCGATGAAACTACAAATTTCCATCCAAACTTATCCTAACAAAAGCATTACAAGAAAATTTACTTAGGAAAAAAAAATAAAACATGATAAAACTCACCTTAAAAATATTTTTTTCTCTCTCTCTCTTTCTCTCTCTTTTACCCTTTCTAAACATGATAAAACCCATCTTAAAAAACTTTCCCTTTTCTCATTCCCTCTCTTTCTCTCTCCCTCTCTCTTCCCTTTCATACTTTCTACTTGGACAGAAGCAAGAAATATGAAGTGTCTCAGCTGACACTTGCTGCTACTTGCCAGTCATGTAGAGGTGCTCCCTCCATACGTCTATGCCTACTCATCTATTCTTCCGCTGTTCCAATGTTATGAAATATTCATGCAAACACATACACCCATCACACACCACACACGCCATTACACACAAAAACATATATATACATATACAAACACACACACACACTCTCTCTCTCTCTCTCTTTTAAATAAATACCCAATAACAACGTAGGTCTTGCAACCAGTAGAATTAGTCCTGATTAATCTTCTCAATAAATAATCAGCCAAGGTCTCATTGTTGTTATATGAAATATCATCATTTTACCATCAATTCATCATCCTTTTATTATCGCTTAATGCTCAACTTAGTTTTACTCTAGTGTTTCTGGAGACAACCGTGCATAAGAAATATTAGAGTATATTAAGTCGACATGCTTAAAAGCGTGTTTCATCAACTTGTGGCGTGACACTCTGTCAGGGAGCTTACAAGTTGCAACAAAGGGAAAGAAGCAAGTCACAAAGAGAAAACTTTTTGTGATTATAAGCTAATTAACACTTTGCGCCTGTACAAAATATATAAAACCTCTATGCTTGTGCTTGTGATCCTCCCCTCCTCTCTCTCTCTTCTATCTACCTTCTCTCTCTCTCCCTCTCTCTCTTTATATCAAATTTTGAAACTCTAAAGCCCCCCAAAAAAATTTAAAAGCAACGTATGCACAAAAGATATTGCACGTGTAGGGTGGTGCACGCAAACATATGTATCATAAATAAAAACATGCACACTTAGTTAGAAATATATATTCTCACTCAAATGTATATTCTTACTTAAATGCATAAACAAAACATGCACATTTAAAGAACGGACAAAAATGAACGCATATACATTCACACAAAATAATAGATGCCCAGTAAAAGCACACAAAAAATACAAAGAGATCACACTGGCACACACACACAGACACACACACACATACAAACACAGACACACGCACAGACCTGTCCACCACCAACTGCACCACCACCACCACCACTTGCGTTTGATACAGTAACGGGAGTCGTTGATGTCGTTTGGTGGTGAATGGCCGACCCTGCTGCTGCTGCTGACGTTGATGTCGATGATGACGATGGGTTGGCAACATCCTTTTTCAATAAATTGTCCGTCTCCTCATCTGTGCTGTACTCTATCAACGTTATGATCATGAAGAGGATGATGATGACGATGACGATAATGACTATGATGATGTGGGTAAGTATAGGTTGTCGATGATGATGATGTGACAAAGATGATGTTACAAGCTATGTAGATGATATAGCATAGCAGATGGTGGAGTAGATAATGCGATGGTTACGCAAATAATGAGGATGATTTAAATGATGATGTTGTTGGGTGGGGGTGAATGATCCCTCCTCCTCCTGCTGATGATGCTCTCCAACTTAACATAGCGACGACATGAAAGTGAAAGTGATAACGATACTGATGACAATAATGACGACGATGATGACGCTGAAATAACAATGTGCGATTAAATGAAATATGTTGGTCCTGTGAAAATTCTATTAAAATAAAAAAAAGTGAAACTGAAAAGGAAAGCGTGAAACAGATAAACTAAAAAATTAACGGGCGAAACATAAGGAACATCTAGAGAAAGTGGAATACTAATAAAAATGTAACCAAACAGACAACAAAACAAACATTGTTAGATAGAACGAACGATGAACATGCACTAATGCTTGCTAAGTTGGCTGGTTGCTAGGTCTAATAATGGATAAAAGAATGGGTGGACGAATGAACGGAAACAACAAACACGTCTCACGCATAAAAAGAACGCCCTGAATAAAAATGAACCTTGATGGCAAGATTCAGTCTTATGAAGAACTGGTGTGGCATGAAAGTGCAGTGATTCGTCTAATTAGGAGGGAGGCCAGACATTGGGCTCACGTTACAACGACGACAACAACAACAACAACAACCTCGATTCAACATCAGCCAACAACAACAACAAGAAACAAAATTGCAAACAACGCATGTGCACTTTATCAAAACATTCAAAATGCAAGCTATCATCACTTGACATCGCAAGCACACAATTACTACTATAACACACCGACCAACCAAATGCATCCATATGCACAACAACAACAACACACGTTTAGACGACATTTTCCCCGAGATCGGGGGTTGCCGTTTGGCTACCTATGATGAAACCGAAATACCCCTCGACGCCATTCCATAATAAGTAATTTATTTGGCTAATTTTTACGCAGGACGCCCTTCCTTACGCAACCACAGTTATAAGCGGTGGGCCTAGCCTTTGATGATCCAACATCACTCACAAGGCAGTGAGGGTCAGTTTAATGTCATAACCAGGACCAGCATCCATATGCACGTATCATTCAATTTTGTTTATTTTCAAAAGCTTCTCATTTCCAAAACATTTTCAACATTTCAACTTTTGATTTGTGATTTAAACTGTTAGAGGCACCCCGCTGTTGGCAAGTTTACTGAGACAAAAAACAAAAGCATTTAATGTGTTTATCATATTGGCTAGATCAAAAGATGCTGGCTGCACACTTGCACAAAATTTTCAACGAATACTTTTAAAAACAAAAAACACATAAGCCTGTTTAAATACAAACACAAAAATAAATATATGTACCTGGCACTTTGGTATATACTGCAGACCCGGTTTTATTTGTTCCTTTTTCAACAAAAATGTTTTCGCTTTTTTCAACATTTTTTGTAATGTTGCCAGTATTGTTGTTAATGTTTCTGTTGTTGTGAACATTGTTTGGGCCGACTTCCTTTCCTTTGTTTGA